TGACCAGGACCAGACAGAACCCTGCAGCAGTGACCAACCTGGAGAATCCAGCCAGGAGACTCCAGGCCCAAGTATCACCAGCGGGTTAGAGGCTGTGACAGAGAGTTATTAAGTAGTAAAATCCAATAGGCCTAATTCTAAAGGTAAGCATGATGCTTTTTGCATTTTTTATTGTGTCTGTTTATGCATTTCCAGTTAAGTTCCAGAGAGAGATGATGGTGATACAGATTCAGAGTCAGACTCTGGGGAGGAAGACAGTGAAGCAGAAGGAAATGGCACTAACTGCCCCCACCCAGCACAACCTATTGCACACCAGAAGCACCAGTTTATTTATTTATTTTTGAGAATTTGTTTTTGGTCATATTCTGGGCTCTGAGTTTACATTTACATGTTCACTGCTCCATAGTGCCGTTTAATGTCTTGTTTGGTCATGGCAAATCTTTGTTAAATAAACCATTTTAATTTGAGTGTGTGTGAGAAAATATTTGTTTCCTTTCGTTCATCATTTATATATGGACCCCTCTGATAAAGCCTTGCTCACCCTTTGGCCACCCCTTGAAAAAAAAGTCTAGCTCTGCCACTGTTTTTAATACAGGGAAATAATTGCAGGGCTCATTTTGACTTGGCTCATCTGGTGACGTATATGAATCTTTGTCTCCAAATCCGATTTCCAACCCCACCTCTGTTTTGTGTCTTTCCAATTTTGAATATTGGTCTCATGTCATTTTCAAGTGGGCAAGTCTGGACCTGTCGGACTGGTTAATGAATAGTCATGCCTGAAGAGAAAAAAAAAAGAGAGAGGCAGGGCCAGGATGCATAGCAAATAGAGAAGGCCATGAGGAGAAAGAGAAGTGGAGGAGGAAGAGGCAGGGCATCTTCTGTCCTCCATCATGTTCAGCTGCACAGAAAGGTCACCTGGATGCACAGAGGTCACATGTTGCGGTCCAACCTGACCACAGAAGCATTGCAGAGGCAGGTCTATCTTGACAGGAACGATGCAGTGTGATGTGGTGAGTTGATGCACATTTACGACAGTGCACACTGAGTTTGATTTATTTGAAAACAGTCATGCAGAAGATTGTACTGCTAAAGTGCTCTGAATATTATCTCTATATATCTCCAGCTATGCTGTTTACTAATAGCATAGATGGAAAAAAATGTTTTAGATGTGATTTGATTATTATTGATTATGTTGTTTGAGGTTTTAAAAACAAGTGAAGTTTGATATGTGCTTTGCAATACTTAACAGTCATTTCTAATATAAATGTGATTTATTAAGATTTTGGCTTGGAACACTTTTCACTTTATTTGAAAAGGGATTCCCGAGGGGATAACATTACGTATTCTTGTGCTTTACTTTATTTTATGTTAACCAGGTAAAATTATGAGAACCATATTAAGATGTAGGTTGGAACAGTTTGGACCCGCCTGCTCCATGTTTCCCCTATGGGGGGTTTACCTGCAAGAGAAACAGCAGGAGGCAGTAAACCTGACCGCCTCTTGTTTTCCTGTCATTTTTATTAGTCAAATCTTTTAATTTTTTAACACTAGTAGGATTTCCAACAATCAACATATGTAGGTATTGCTGAACACAATTGCTTGGAATATAAACTGGGGATCAGAAGGGTCAAATAAGATAAGCTAAGTTGCTTTGTATGTGGGATTATTGATGGAGTAGATATCTGGTCTGCATGTTTTAGAAACTGCTGACCTACTGCAGATTTTCAGCATATCTTTGATTTTTGGAGCAATAGCTCTGATTTAGAGAAAATGACCAGGAAAAGGAAAAAAAAAATTGCCTTGTTGATGTCAGATTGGTTTGAAATGATGGAAAGATGACAGAACCTTAAAAAAAGCACTTATTACTGCAAACCTTAAAGCAGATGGACAGTAACAGAAGAGCACACAACAGTGAGTCTTAATTCTCCCCTTGCATCCATAACAGCCCTAATTAGATATCACATTTTACTTGTTTTGCATGAAGTTACAGCACTTTGAGATTTGAAGTCTCCTTTTTGCGTTTCACCTTATATGTCCAGCAGGGGGAAACCTTGATGCACTCACTTTTGCATTGACCACCCCTTATCCTTGCATCTGTATACCATGTGTTTCATCGGGAAAGTTAAACAAATATAGGTAGTTTTTATATGTTATAACTTTGTTCATTTGTGCAGTGAAGCTTTCATTTTTTTCCAACCTCCTTCCAATAGATGCAACAAAACCATGCTTGCTTCTGTTGTTGAACATGTTAAGTGGCCATGGTGTTTTATATCATTACAAGGTTTGATGTAATAAGTGGCTGTAGAAATAGGTAATAGATATTTTATCCTGGACCTTTTGTGTTTCATTCATTGTGACAAGTGAAGGTAGCTGCAGCAGGCTTATCCTCGTCTCTCAGTGTTTTGAGCCTTTAAGCTTGGCTTTGAGTGGCAGCAGCCAGGATGACTGCCCATAGGGAAGATCACATGATGCTGGGATGGGAATCACGTACACACACACATAACCACGCACACATTTGCTCACACAGTTGCAGCGAAGGCTTAAGCTCTTGTTTCAACTTGTTGTGAATTCAGTTCAGGTATTAACTTAGAGCGCACCTGGGAGTGTATGTATGTCCGTGTGTGTGAGTGTGTGAAATCCTTTTATTTTTGTTCTTCTTTTTTGCTGTTGACACATACACCTGGACTTCTTTTGTGCCCAGAAAGCTTCTTTAATAATAGAGCTAGGTTGTAAACAGACATTAGGGGGACATCACAATTACTTTCTACAGCCCACTTATAAGAAAGGCAAATATCAGTATAAATGCTAATTGGCATATATTTTAGATGGACGTGCGAGCAAGGAACATTTTTTATCTCTGAAAATGCCGACGGTGTTTCTCAGTTGCAGTGTTTGTCATTATTTTCTAAGAATCTGACTTTAACTGTACAGCACACACCTAGCATTCAACCCGTCGATGTATGGATCCAAGCAGCAACACTTTGGTGAATCAATAATAGTTCATATTTAATTTTGAACATTGACTTTGGTTTTTCCACTTACTGACAGAATGATAAGACAGGGGGCTTATTATTGGTGGTTTTCTATTGATCAAGATCACAATAGGATTTTCCAAAGTGAATGGATGTGCAGCATTGAGTCAAAGTTTGAAATAAGTGTATCTTATAAAGGGGAAATGTAATGGAAAAGTCCTGTTTTTCTTTTTTGTTTGTTTTTGAAAACTTGACAGTAGCTTACCATGTTTGGTTAATCAATGATGTCTAGAAAGGAACATACAGTCTTCCTTTAGCTCACTTAAAGTCACAACATGTAAGAGAAAGTAGCTGTCAATTGTCCCATCTGCCTCCTTTATTGCACCTTAAATTGTTTTATCAGCAAGTGTGCATGATTGGATTGTTTTTGGAGGAAGGAAGAAGAAGGAAGAAAGTAAGGAAAGAGGGGAAAAAAGAAAAAAATGAAGGAAGAAATGATTGAAAAAATTAATGAGCAAAGGAAGGAAGTGATCAAGGAGGGAAACAATATTTTGCTTTGTCACATTATAACCTTAAATTTGATTTAATTGGATTTCTTATGTGTGTGTGAGCAATCTAGAAAAAAGACATTTCGTGGTTTTACATTTTTCATAAATACAAAATCCAACAAGTGTGCTGTGTATTTGTATGCAGTTCCTCTCAGTAAATATTGAGCAAAGCCACGTTCCACTCCAAGAAGAGCTCCACGTATTTTATAGGATTTCACCACAACCTTGTGCATGAAGACTCTCAACTCTTTGGCCATTCTTCTTTGCAAATTGGCTCAACTTAAGAAAGAATGGGTGGAGTTTCAGTACAAACAATAGTTTGAAATTATTCTCATATATTTTGAATTTAACTTTGTAATTGGATTAAGCCAATGTTAGTGCTGAAGAAACCATCCCCACATCATTGGTTCTGCCACAACCTGAACGACATGCAGGCGGGGGATGAATGTGTATTTTTTTAGAATAGTTCATGGGACAAAATTTTTTCAATGCACTGTACATGACATATGAGAGCATTAAACAGGGCATGCAATGCTTCTGAGTCTGTATAAAATTTAAAATGAGACATGAGAAACCAACAATCATCTTCAAGTACTATTGACTTTGTTTGACAACTCATTTTATTGGCTCGTACAGTTAACATAATAATTCTTAAGGCAAGATTTGGCAAGCTTATTTATAGCACAGGCAGTGCAAGAGATCTTCCATCCATCCATTTTCCATACACCCTTGTCCCCAGCAGGGTCAGGTGGGGTGCTGGTGCCTATCTCCAGCGAACATTTTGGGCGAGAGGCGGAGTCACCCTGGACAGGTCGCTAGTCTTTCGCATGGCTCCAAAACATCATATGAAAGATAAAAGAAAAAAAAGTTTTTTTACGTTCTTATTTAAAGAGAGAGATTAATATATTAAATACAGCACAGGCTTTTTGGGTCTATTTTTTTATTGCAATCCTGGTGTTTAATTGACATTGCATTGACAAATGTGATCTTCAATGAAACAATTTATGTGAAACATATACGATTATTTTTGTCGTGATTGCAAAGCCGTTGGAAGTTTCAGCTTCTGAGAGTGCTGACCGCCTGACTGTGTTACCGACTGTATTAGTCAGGTTTGTTTGCACAAACCAAAAAGTCAAATTCCCTGTTTGTGCTCACACTCCTCACCAATACAGCCCACTCAGATTCTTATTTAGAGTGAGATTGATCTGCAATGCAGGAGGTGGGGGTTCTGACCTTTGAACTTATGTTCTTTTGTGGGGTTTTTTTTCCCTCTCTCTCTCTCTCTCTCTCTCTCTCCTTGCTCACCCCCCTGTATCTTGCTCTCGATGTCAGACCAGACGGTGTTGACTTAGAGTAGGCCTTTACAAGGAGCATGTGTGTACATGCGGCCCGACATTGCCGTCTATGTCCGGGCATGCCATAATTAGAATGTCGTACCATTTTTTGGGTTCCCATCCCTCTTTTCCTTCTCAACTTCTCTCCCCTCATCTCAGTGTATCATTCCTCTCTCTCCACACCAGTCCTCACCTTTTTTTCCCCTTGTCCTGGCAGCACATGTGCCTTGAGTGTGTGGTAGAACATGTCCACTGATGCACACCTTGCTTGAGGTCTGAGGTTATAGGCTATGCTCCTGCACTCTGCGGTGCTCTGTTGTGTTTGGACGTTTGACTGGCGGAAGATTTGATAAATGAGACCAATGCTCTAGAGGATGTACTACGTGAAGAAGAAGGTAAAAAAATATTAAATTTTCTTTGCCTGGTAGTTTACTTTTCTAATGCGGTTTCTTGGCGTGTCTAAATCAGAAACAAAAAAAAAATCTTGTTTGTAAAATCTAGAATACTTTTACTGTTAGTTCCATTTAATTGTATGGATTCTAGTTATTGGAGATACATCCAGAAAATTACTGTTTATGATCATCATGCAAAGTGAATGCTGAACTTGCAGTTTATAATTTTCAAATTATTCTTTAGTGTGTGTTTTTGTGGACATCCTTTGCCAGAAAAGTCTAAGGTAGTTAATGTACAGCCACATTTGGGTTATAAGAAGTCAATAACAATTATTTCTACATACAGCACATCATCGCTCTTTACAAAAATGCTGGAGAGGAAAAAAAAGGTTTGAACTTAGGCAAACCCTGTCATGTCTGTGTTGTACAACATGCATCACATAGCCACAAGGAGGCTGCAGGAAGGACCTCTGTACGACTGCCCTTAAATTGTATGCAACTTTGGGTGTTATGATGTGTACTTTCAACAAAAATGCAGATGTGGGAAACCTACTGAGTTAAACTTGCAGCATCACACACAGTGCACACATCGATCTCCCTCTTCTTCTGTAACCCGACCTCCCTTAAGCTTCCAAAACCTCTGTCTCTCTCGCACCTCTAGCTGTGTCCTCCCTCTGCCTTCCTGCTCCCTCCCTTTTTCACCTGTTTGGTTCTCTTCCCTCTTGGCTTCTCCCCCCAGTCCCAGTACAACTTGCTGAGCAGCAGCATGGAGAGCCTGGGGAGCCGCGCCACGTCCGCCAGCCCCTACAGCTCCGAGAACACGTCTTCGTCGGCCGTGCCCACCCCTTCGCCTTACTCCCAGCCCAACTCCACCTTCGAGGGCCTGTCCCCTGCCCCGGCAATCCCCTCCAACACCGACTATCCGGGGCCGCATGCCTTCCAGGTGTCCTTCCAGCAGTCCAGTACCGCCAAGTCCGCCACATGGACCGTGAGTAGACAAACACACACACACACGTTTGAGGCCTTGACATGCAGTTTCCCTGTCCGTGCATGCAGGAGCTTTTTTTCTCTTTCTGTCTGAGTGTTAGTCACACACTCATCAATATTCACACAGACACTCATTCTCACACATTTACCCCAGCCAGCACATGTGCAGGCGTGTCGAGTGCAGGCAAAAGCGGGTCCAGTGATTTATCTTGTCTTCTATTAACATTTTTAGAAATCTGCCTGATGAGCACAGCAGTGAAAGTCTCATCCAATGGAACTGCTTAGAAACATTTTGTCCAGAGACTGGATTTAGATAATCCTCAGCACGTCAAATTTGTAAACCTTTTTCTTTTTTTATTGCTCATGAAGTGTATCAGCTCTCACTATATTCTGTTATAGTTTTGAGAATATTTAAGTAATGGCATTTAATATGCATCTAAGAGTTGTAGTAAATATGTGTTGGTGCAGATGACATTTTAGTAATAATAACGAAAGACTAACACGATCAAACTTGGGACGTTTTGAGACATGCATCGTGGGAAACCAAACTTTAGGATAGAGGGAAGTCCGAACACAATCAATCATACAAACCTTTACAGGTCTTCAGCTGATAATGTGCCTAACTTTCCATCAAACATAGGCTTAGGATAACATCACATATGTATTGCTGATATAATCCATACATTGCGTGAAAAATGTTCCATCAGTAGCAGAGCTTGAATAAGTACCATTCGACCAGAAACTGAAATTAGATAATCATCAGCACGTCAAATCTGTAAACTTTTTTTTTTCTTTACTGCTCATGAAGTGTATCAACTCTCACTATATTCTGTTTATAAACCAACAGCCAACAGTGTGTAATTTGATGGTTATTTATTTTAGTTTAGCAGAATTGAGGTGCCGGTTGAGACAGATTCTTTGAGATCCAAATGGAGGAAAAAAAAAAAGTAGTTTCTTAATGTCTATTCTATTCAAAGCTACTAACTATCCAAGAATCTATTTTTGTTGTATTTTATTTAGAATAACGAAACCTGAAAAAAAAACAGAAATCAACACGTAAGACCGGAAAAAAGTGGAAGTCGGCCAAGAAAGTCTTGATTGCTATCTCTCTTTGAGGAACTTCCCTGAGAGAAACCTAAGCGAGGATATTTACATTAGAAGCATAAAGGAGTATAAGGTGATGTGACAGTGGTGAAAGACAGGTGAAATGGGAGCTGCGTAATTTGTCATCAAACCAATGAGAAACCCCTCGCTGGAAAGGTGTCACCTCCGACTGTCACACAGTTGACCTCCCTGAAACAAGAGAAACAAGAGACAAACCGCTCTTCCCTCACACTGTGTGTGAGGCTGAAGTCCTGGGGGGCTGTGTGTTTGCTTGGAGTAACCATGCGTGATGGACTCCTCCAGTCTGTCCTCGGTGATGTAAGAAGATCCTGCCCTGGACATTAGAGCAGTGGTCTTTGACCTGCTCCTCTGTCTTTTCCTTCTTCCCCGTCTTAGCATGCGCTCATGGTTGTCACCTCTGGCGCCCAGAAGTTTTCCTTTCAATCCTCTGGTAAATTCTGTTTCCCTATTCTCTGTCTCCTTTAAATCTCTCTGCCACGTTGCATTCACATAACCCAAAAACGACATAATGAAGAGAGAAAAATGAACTGGAAGAAAATAATTCAATGAGCCAGAAACAGATCCCTCTGTATGCTTTTAAAATTTGGTGTTTTCGTCTGATACTTGATAGAGATGATAAAGAATTATTCCTAGCAAACGAAGCAAATATTTTATGGAGATTTGAAGTGAGCAGGCTTAAGATCCTTATACTGATGGCGCGGTTACCAACCTATTAATCTACACAGATTACTCTGAATAATAAAACAATCCTAAAGCCAGAATTCTTCTCACACAGTTCAGTAGATTCTTGATATTTGACATCTTCAGCCGAATTAAATTTAAAGTTCTGCAGTAAACATTAATCTCTTGTAAAGGTTGCCGACCCCGGCTTTAGACCAGGTTTAGTGCCAAAAACCCATCAAATTCACAAAACGTCTCTCTGAGCAAATTAAAGATAGTCTGTTTGATCCAACACAGCTATAAGATTCTATTCAGCTTGTTTCAATTCAGCTTTAATTATTCATTAAAGTTTACAACAAATGTCTTCTTAAAAGACTTTGCAAAGTTTAATTCATAAAAAGAAAGCATCAAATCAGTTTAATACAAACCAATCATCAGGTTCAACTTTAACCACGTACATCCCAATTTGAACCTAGTCATTCGTTATGCAGTCAAATTTTGCTTTGTGATGCCATTTGAACCTAAGTTTACCACTTAGGTGGTAAAGTTTACCACTTAGGTTCAAAGTGGTAAACCTAAGGAAGTCCAACTTGTGGTTTTGGTTACTCACTTTGCATCATTCCCTCTTCCTGATCAAGTTGTGCCCGTGGAAAGGAACAACTCCTTCATGACAGGAAGAAACCTCCACCTGAACCTGGAATTTATTAACTGAATAAGTTCATAAATTCACTATTGAAACACTGTCAAAATGTCAACTTTAACATCTACAAAACATCATGACAACTTTGGTTTTCATTGTTTTAATGTCGGCAAAAAGCAGAGAAAAAAGCATTAGTTCTCCTTGGTTGATTTTTGTTTTTCTTTCAGGCGATAAACTGTTTTGCTATCTTCTCAAGAAAAGACACAAAGGAGGGTTTGACTGGAAAATGACTTTTACTGAAAATAGGGATTGAGAAGATAACCTGTGATTATTTTAGTGCCTCCACTGCCATTAAACAAGGGGATCAGAGTCAGGGATTTAATCTTTTACAAGGCTTCGCTCTGTCTTCTGGGCTTGGCAGTAGAATTGGAGAAGCAAAATCAGGATGAGCTAAAAAAAAAACAACTCTTCTTTTGAGGTGCAGCCATGTTCAATATTACTAGAATACTATTGTAAAATTAATTACTTTTAGTAAAAATTTTCATTCAGACACATTATTTAAATTAATTTGACACAGTCTGGTGTTTTTTGAGTATTTCTTTCTGCTAATTATGATGATTTGCAGCTTAAAGGGAATGAAAACACAACATTACCTCAGAATAATCACGAAAACAATTTTAATACTTCATAAAAAGCATATTTAATATCTGCTTAAAGGTTGATATTTTCAAAAAGTGGTTTTTACCTGACAAATGAGTCTCAGCAGGAAAATAAATATTCTGATCATTGATTGTTGTCTCTAGCAGCTTTATGTATTTAGACATTAATACATTTCGCTCTTGAAAATACCTCAAGCTCAGTCGATCAGATGGAGAGTTACAGCTATTTCAAATCCTGCAGCATATACTAAATTATATTTAGGTCTGGGCTTTGACTAGGCCATTTTCTCACATGAATTTGCTTTGATTTCATGTATTCTGTTGTAGCTCTGCTTGATCATTCTGAAGTATAGTGACTTAACACTGCCCTTTAATTTAGCTTTATTCCAATAATTTCTGACCAGCTTCCTGTTACCTGCCGAAAAAAAAGAATCCTCAAAGCATGATCCTGCCACCACCATGTTTCCAAGTGGGAATGGTTTGAGTTCTGAATGCAGTTCAGAGGACTGTATTTTATATAAAAGCACCAAAGTAAAGGGAACTTAATACATTTCTCATTACTAGTAAGAAAAACGTAAAAAACAAATCTCTTCTTTTACATTTCTCAAGTACCTGTGCAGCAGAACGACATTATATCTCAGGAAAGACATTGAGGTTTGTGTCAAAATGCAGGCTTGTTGAAAAAGCATTATTTTTTTTGGGAGCGCTGTTTGCATATACCTACCAGGTTACTCTTACAGTAAGTAGGAAGAAATGACAGATAATTATTCTGTAATTAAAGGTCTGGAAAGAAAATATAATAATAACAGTTTTTTAAATAGAAGGAGACAGTCAAAAATTGGAGGTTCATTATTATTTTTTTAAATCTTCTTAGAAAAATTGGATACATATAGTCACATCGCTAAATATAGTTAACCATCTAAGTCTGTGCTCATTCTTTGTAGCCTCAGGTAGTGGGGAATTTCAGCAGGGTAGTATTGACTATAATCAGTTGCCTCTTTTCCCAGCTCTTTGCCTCCCACTAAGACTGGGTGGCAAGGCATCGCTTTTGGAGATTACAAGAAATTGAGCTACCTGTTGCATCAAGCTTTTATTGTTAAATCCTTTCCTCTCAGGTCTTCAGCTGCAGTTGTGACGAAATGTTAGATTTATGGCCACATACCGACGGATCCACCATTAAAAGAGGGCAGAGAACAGAAGAACCTATTCTCCCCCCTCCCCACATTTTTCATAATGTTTCCACACACAAAATCCCATCCAAGCCCATGTTAAGCTAGCCTGGTAATCCCCCCTCCTTGTCTAGTCAAGACAACACACATTAGTGATAATAGCTCTGAAACTCTGCCGCTCTTCTGCCTCTTAAAGATGATGCCTTAGCTTGGATGCAGACGAGCGTCACCGCGACTGGAAATGAGATCTAACACCTCAGCATTGTCAAATTACAAGACCTCTCTCCATACTTTCAGACTCAGCATGTGTGCGCGCGAGTGTGACTCTGCGCATGAAAACCGCATTTGATGGGAGTGGGGTGTGTGGGGCGTGTGAGTGTGTGTGTGATGCGGCTGAAATGCAGGCCCCAGCTTGTACTTCACTACAGTTTGTGAGGAGCTCCTCTTCCCAGCTATTAGCGTCTCTCTGTTAGGACGCAGGTCCCAACAAGTCCTGCACAATACATCCTTCCCTCACTTTCCAAATACATCATTCACAGCCACATCACCATGTTCTCCCTGCCAAGCAATGAAATCTGGGAAAACTCACTTGATACACATGGGTAGGCCTCTAGAGAAGAATCTACAGATCAAACTAAAAAGTTGCTAGAGCAAATAGATATATTTGTACCCCTGGCAGAGTTAAGATAAAATAAATCTCTTATTTTGTAAAATAATTGTCAAAATACAGTTTTTTAAGTAAAAAAAACTTTTATATAGTTTTGTATTATTTATTTTAGGATCCCTGTCTCATTTTCTGTCAAAAACAATGTCCTTGGTTGAAAAAAAGTTAAAATCTAAATTTACCAGAGGGATGAATTACTCAGCACAAATTGATTTAAAGAACACAGTCTGAGTAGAGTAATTTTTCTGTCATTTTTTTTTCCCATCAGAGTTGGTGTAAAGCATAAAAGTGACAAGAAAATAATCCATTAAGGCTACAAATGGTCTCTTTTCCATTTTGACTTACAATTACAAAGCAGTTGAAAAAAGCCATTCCAGACTGTGGATACGTAAAGTATCCACACTCTGGCGATTCTAAGTACCACTGTGAATTTGAAGGTGCACAAGCTTTTTTTTAATATTTGTCAGCTGAATTTGCAACAGGCATGCTGCTGCTTGTGTACATGGATGATGGTCTGGCAATTATCACCTACTCTGCAGGAGCCTGTCCTGACCTGCCTTCAGTGGTCCTCTATGCAGAAGAAAGGATGGATTCCTCAATCTGTGGCAGCGCTTTATAAAACTGACCAGGTTTTTTTTTTTTTTCGGGTTATTATAAATGTCTCTGTTTTACATTTTTATGAACGGTATGCCACAAGAAGAACAATAAAGCTTAATTTGGTACATTTTGTGCTGCTAAAAATGGTATTAAATGGAACTAAAGAATAAATCTGGAGCACACTGGGTGAAAAAGAAAATTTTACATGAAACTATTGACATCATTTTTCATGTGTGACTAGTTTGTCAGCTGACTATAATTTGGAACTGTTCGTGTTAAGATAATTAAAAAGAAAAAAATAACATTTATCCTAATTTTACCCTCTTTTTACCAATCCTAATCAATATTCTTTCTTTCCTATCTAACATTATCTCCTCCCCTTCAGTACTCTGTGATCTGAAATAAAGCGCGGTTGAGTCATCACTCATAATCTCTTGTTTGTACATGAAGATACAGCAGATCCTTTATTCATTGCTCACTCTTTGACCATAATAATTACCCTGCGTGTGTGTGTGTGTGTGTGTGTGTGTGTGTGTGTGTGTGTGTGTGTGTGTGTGTGTGTGTGTGTGTGTGTGTGTTTGTGTGTGTGTGTGGGGGGGTGGGGGGGAGTATTTGCAGTATATATACTGGTAACCACAATAAGGAGCTAAATATACTCTGGAAGGATAAAAACACAAAAATGTTTACCATTTTCCCTTTTTATAGTTGTTACATGTAATAGTAGGTCAGACTAATTAAGAAAAAAACTTTCCGCTGCTGAAATCAGCTTTACGTAACATATGTAACATTACAAGCGACATAAGAGTCTAAGGAGTAGTGAATTGCAACAGCTCTGTAAAAAAAGCACTTTTTTAAAATTTCACACTATATGAACCACTTCATTTTTTTTTTCTTGTAGATTCCTTATTGTCTTTTAAATCATGTGGGGGATCCTGAAAACATGCAGACATTGAATGAATCGTATCTAAAAGCTGAAAATGTGAAAAATACTGAATACAGAGACTTTGTTGGAAAAACAAAACCAGTTGAACAAAGTCTAAAGACATACTGACAACTTTGAGTTCATTCAAGCCATAAAAAGTCATTTATTGTTCATTTTAAGATCAGTAAAAATTATTTCTATACAGTATAGAACACAGTCACCACATCTGATACCATCATGTGCATCAACTATTATTTAACTTACTGCGCTTTATAATTTCTTGAAGGCTCATTTTCTTTGATCCTTCACATTTATGTTTCATTCATTTCTGTCAGAAAGCAAACCAATAGTATATTCATGCGTGAATGATTTCAGTGACATGAAAAGATAAAAATTCGGTAAATAAAATGAAACATGTTTATTCACAGTATATAGGGGTTGTTGAGACTTGTTAGGGAAAATTATATGAAGTAATGTTATGCACAGATATTTCCATCGTTGCCATTGCTCGTGGCTAAGAGCATGTGTGCAGTTTGGTTGTCAGCCCCCTCTTACCTGTGTATATACATGTGTGTGTGTGAAATAAATAAAGAGGGCATTTTATGGGTGTCCTGCTGTTTTACAACAACCTGTCATAAGTCAGGATAAGTTAGCTCAATTATGCTGATTCAATGATTACCAAATCTCCTTCTGGCCTCCGCCTGAAAAAGTGGTGAAGAAGTAATGAAAAATTACGACTGGATAACTAAAAAGCATAACTAAGGAGACAAAAAAAAATGTTTTTTTGTTTTTTTTTAGGATATTGTTATCCTAAAACTGGATAACAATATCCAGTTTTTTAGGAAATATTTTTCATAAAGCAGCAACTGAGGATGCAAGACAATGTTTCATTGTAGCCATGAGGCACATCAGTGTTTAGCTTTCCATCAAGGATTTCAACAGTGGCTAGACAATGACGAGATTTGCAGCGATCAGAATTTTGTGGCCTATTTCCAGTCGCTCTTGAGGAATTTTAAAATAAGACGATGTAAAGCCTGCATGCATAGGCGGCTGGTAGCAGTGTTGCCTTACAGTAAGAAGACCCAGGGTTCAAATCATAGTCAATGGTTTTCTGCCTGAAGTTTGGATGTTCTCCCCATGAATACCTGGCTTCTTCCCATAGTTCAAACACATCACTGTTAGGTTACCTGGTTAGTCTAAGTGGCTGTTAAGTGTGAGAATATGTGTTGTTTATCTTGTGTGTGTGTTGCCCTGTGACGGACTGGCAACCTGTTCAGGGAGTGCCCCACCTCTCACCCAATGACTGATGGAGTTAAAAGCCCAAAAGCACTGCGACTTTTTCAGTAATACGTTAAGCTTTCTTGCTGCCTGCTGAAAGTCTTGATCTCTTCCCCTGCCTTGCAGTCTGAATGAAATGTTGACATGACTCACATTTCTTAGGGTTTCCTATAAAAAAGTTTTTTATATTTCTGTGATTTATCCATTTTTCTCTTTACTCTTTTTCCTGGAGAAAGAGCATCGACACGGAAGAGTGTTGTCAGCTCAACCTTGTAGACTTTACAAGCGGTGTTTTGCTCATACAAAGATCAGACTTTTGAGATAGTAAGTGTCACTAGCACTTTACCACTCTAGACTACATCAGTTATTAAACCCAAAACATGTATTGTTCATAAAACCCCACTTCCAAGATGAAACAGTGGTCCATGTAATGTAAAGTGACTACTATCATTTTGGAATTTGTCAAATTATTCACTTTTGAAACGATTATCTTTGGAAAATAAAAGGTGATGATGAATCGCAGCTGACATTTCACATTTACAGATTTCATCCAGAGCCACTTACATTATGGTACTATTAATTATTTTTCTTGTCTCCTATCTATGAAAAAAGACAAGATTCCACCCTCATGTTTTTGTATGCTACATTACATATCTAGAGCTGCATGTACTTTATCCCTCCTTTGGGAGGTACTATTTTATTGGCTTTTTAGCACAACACAGCATGTCTGTACAAGCCTGAACAGACTTCTTGTTTTTTTTTTTTTCCTAGAAGGTTGTAGATTGGGTTGTGGCATGCTGAGCCTGTTTTATTTCTTGCTAAGTATTTTTATGCGTGTGTTCCTGGGACTTACATTCTCACATACATGCATGTACATGTGCAGACGATTGTAAACTGAGGGATTGCAAAAGATTTTGCTTTAACACAGATCAGCGTATTTCCCTTTTCCTTTTTTTAAGAGAGTTCAACTTGAATGTCTTAAGAGAAAAACATTGTTTCTTTTAGTCCTCTGATTCCCAGTTGTGTTATTTTATTTTATTTTTATACTTCTGGTCATACAGTATGGCCTCCACAGTCTGCGGTTCACAAAGTCAAGCATATACTGTAATTAGTTTCTAGTGATAGGAATCACATATTTTTGAAATAATTTTCAGGTAATTGGTAAACAGCTCTATTTGTTTCTTTCCCTGTAGAATCTTGTTCTTGTTCATATTTGTGTCAGACATGTTCTTTTGTTTTTGTTGTTTTGTCTGCACTTACATTCAGTTTTTCAATCAGTGAATTCTTTTCTCCTCATTTTGAGACATTTTTGTGACAAAAATGCTATTAGTGCACTGTGCTTATTTCATTTATTGGCTGTGATAATGACATGCGTTCGTGTGACTGTTGCTTATATGCAAAACAGTTTCACATTGAAAATGCATTCAATGAAAGATGCAAGCTTACCTTCAAAAAGAAAGAAAAATATGCTATCATGTTCCACATGTTAGCATAACATATCAGCTGAATTGTTCCCAGAATATGTGATTAGAAAGCACTTTCATTTATGGTCATTCATTTTCAATTTCCTTTCTTTTTTTCTTAAAAACTCAATATTATTATTACTATTATTACTCCACAGGACTAACTTCTGGTATCTCTTTCTTTTTCTAGTACTCCCCTTTACTGAAGAAGCTCTACTGTCAGATTGCCAAAACCTGCCCAATCCAGATCAAGGTGTCGTCCTCTCCTCCTCATGGGAGCATCATCCGAGCTATGCCAGTCTACAAAAAGGCAGAGCACGTCACAGAGGTCGTCAAACGCTGCCCCAATCACGAACTTGGACGGGAATTCAATGATGGTATGATTAAGCAAGTTTTACATTTCACATGACATTATAATATTATGCGAAATGTAAAAAAAATGTGACAAAAAAGCTCAGTTTTGTTTTTTAGTTCAATTCAATCGATTACGGTCATTTTGAGTTCATGTCACACTAGTCACTTCAAAGGATTTCTACTGAATACACTGTGTTTGGATGTAAGTCAACAAACTAAATGCTTACTGTCCCCTCAGGTCAAACAGCTCCAGCCAGTCACCTGATCAGAGTAGAGGGAAACAACCTGTGTCAGTATGTGGATGATCCAGTCACTGGCAGGCAAAGTGTCTTTGTGCCCTATGAATCTCCGCAGGTTGGTGGTTCAACATTTCTGTGAACAAGTGAGACACACGATGAAATGCATTTAGTTGGACGGATGAGAACTGAAAACACGCAGTCAAGAAATTTGGAAATAAATAGAAAGACATCATCTGCATGAGGGGAAACTTTATAGTCATTGTGATCTCTACAATAACAAAATGAAAAAAAAAACACTCTAAAGGACTTGTGATTTAAAATCTTTGAAGACATATTGTATTTAAGTAATGTACTTTTAGTAAATTCTTGTGACAGGAAAGTCTCACAGAGGTTAAATGAATAGGAAAGGAAGAAAAAAAAACAAGTGAAAATATGCAGTGGTATTTGAATGCTTTTTGTATTTTCTACTGAAATTAGAAATAAGTTAAAACTCACAAATCAAGATTGTTGCAGAGAAAAAGATAGTTTCACACAAGTACCTCGAAGTAGCCACATCTATAAATAAAGCATCCTGCGTGTGCAGACAGGAACAGGCATCATCATGTCTGTGATTGCACCTGTGGAGGGCAATAAAAGGCACGATTGTCTCTTCTCACATCAAAGTGCAGTACAACACCCCCCCTGGTGGTTAATTAATGTTATGAAAGTAATAGCTTGAGGAATAACAATTCTGAAACTTAGAGACAGACTAAGGCAGTTTGGCCTAAATATGTTGTGCTGTGTTTCAGGTTGGGACTGAGTTTACCACCATCCTTTATAATTTCATGTGCAACAGCAGCTGTGTGGGTGGGATGAACAGGAGACCAATTCTCATCATCATTACTTTGGAAACCAGAGAGTAAGTAGCTCTTCTTTTAAATTACACTGCATTTAGACTTAGATGTGTTGCTCTAAGTCCAAATGCTCTCTTGATAATTATTTAAAAGTCAAAATGTTGACAGGTCTACAGCAGAGCAGAGGAACATTAAAGGAACATTTCAGATATTTTTCTGTCATTTTAATTCCATTTATATTGGACCAGTTAAAGTTTTGCCAAACAACATGTTCAATTCTGTGATTATCTCTGTAGTGGCCAGGTGTTGGGCAGACGATCATTTGAGGGTCGGATATGCGCATGTCCTGGTAGAGACCGCAAAGCAGATGAGGACCACTTCAGGGAGCAACAGGCCCTGAATGACAACGTGGCCAAAAACGGAAGTGCCAACAAGCGCAGTGAGTTAATAAAAATGAATAATGTTTTTTGTGTTGCGAAAACATTTCAAAAGTCAAGAGTGTTTTTTTTTTCTTTGTTTGTTTGTTTGTTTTTGTTTTGAGTTTTTAATGACATTGTTTCTTGATGTTTGCAGATTTTAAACAGAGTCCACCAAATATTTCCAGTCCACATATCAACATACGGAAAAGACGGCATGGAGAGGAAGAGATTTACTATATTCCTGTAAGAAGATTTTTTTTCCTTTTACTCCAAATAATAAATTAAAACCTTTTATCTGGATCTGATCTTTTAGCAGCATAAGCTATCAAATTCGATCCAGTAATAGACAAGTTATCGCAGACATTAATTGCTAATTGCCTTAGTTTTCTACACAGAATCACAGCAAGGCACAGATCTCAAATAAAGCTCATTTTACATTGTTATAACACAGAAAACAACTGTTCTGGAGTTTTAAATATTACTTTATTTATAACATTCCCAGCATAAAGTTGAAGCAAACTGACCTAAAGATACAAACACAATTTTAAAGGAATTTACACTTTTCATAAACATCCGTCACCAGGAAAGGTCTCAAGCTCAGCTATTCCACTTAATTTTTGGCGCGCTTGGTTATAGCGCCCCCTGCTGTACAAACTGGATTCTGTCGCCTCTTAAAAGCGACAGGAGTTTGTCAATTGTACTGACTATTGATCGTCATTATCGCTGACGCTGTCTTTGTGTGCAGGTTCGTGGGCGGGAAAATTTTGAGCTGCTGATGAAGATTAAAGATAGTTTGGAGCTGGTTGAGTTGGTACCACAGCCGCTGGTGGACTCCTACAGGCAACAAACGCAACAACAGCTGCTGCAGAGACCGTGAGTTCAGTTAAAACATACACCTGCTACAACTGTGCATGAATTATGACTGAAGAAGAAAAGGTTCACTAGCACTGCTCAGTGCAAAAATAAATGTCAACTAATGAGATTAGGCTGATTTTGGTTTTGTTGATACTTCTTAACCACACTAGATCTCTTTTGGGATAAAAAAATATATATTTCTGATATAAGGTAATCTAAGTATGTAATATAAAACTTCAATTTATTCTTTCTTTTGTTATTTTCTTCCAACAGGAACCATATAGCATCCCCCTCCTCTTATTCTCCGTTGTCCAACATGAACAAGATGCATTCACACAGCGGCCTTGGAAAGACACAGTCCCTCAACCAGATGGTGGGGCACCAACCTCAGCAGCATCCCAACGCCAACCCCACCATTGCTCACATGGGTAAGTGTTTGCAACACTCTTATGATCTGTCCTAAAATCTGCCATTGGACTTCTCGCACATCCAGTACAAACCCAGGAAGACACAGTTCTTGATCATTCCTCTCTTCCCCTTAGGTCCGAGCATGCTCAACAGTAACCACATGCAGGGTAACGGTGACATGAACAGTGGCCACAGCAGTCAGAATATAGTGTCTGCTTCCCACTGCAGCCCACCACCTTATAACCCTGACCCCAGCCTTGTCAGGTACCTCACCCTGCAGTGACACTCCTTCTTTAGCCAACTGTAAAAGGCCAGACGGCAGTCAGATGCACTTGTTGGGTTAAATGTGAAATAGTGGGATGTTGATGGTTCAGTGGTTACTTGTTTTTTTTATTATTTTGGCCATGTTTAAGTTTACTTTTTGCCAGGTGATGTCTAAATGTAGACAGTTTGGTGTGATTATGGCTGCTTTACAAAAGCTTGCAATTACAATGCAAATCTCTATACCTTATAACTGCCGCCATAATGAAGGTCCAGTTTTTAAAAAACATATATTTGTATTTTTTTCTATTGTGATTATTTCTCACCTCATGATTTGGCCATCGTATTGTCTAGCATCCTGCATCAACTTCAAAACTGCTTTTAAAATGCTTTGTGGCGACCACGAAGGCACAAACCTAAAACATCAAAAAGTCTGTTTATGTAGCGAAGTTGGTCAAGATGTGCTGACCTTCATTATGCCTGCAATAGCATTTTGTCGCTGTCGGGCAAAAACTTTGTATCTCTATTTTTGATTTTACTGTGAGAATCAACTCAGTTGCTCACTCTTCATTCCTCTCTGTGGTTCCGTTGGTAATTATTGAAATGCATCGATGAGCATGTCACATGTGAATTCACTTACATTTCCTGTAAAGATACATTTTTTGGAGTTATGAAATTTCTGTCCGACAGCAACGATTTATTATTAGTTACAAACTTAAATCTAAAATCCTTCATTCTGTCACTGTGTATACAGTCTGGCTTTGCAATGCACTACTGCTATTTTTCTATAAAGGAAATGTTTAAGTTGTATTAATTTAAAGCTTTTTTTCCCACATTCTTTTTTTATATACATTTTGTTGAGGATAATGTGTCAGTGCAGTCCCTGATCTTTAAGATATATTTGACAGTTTTGCTACACCATCCTTTTGGTTTTTGGGGGGCTGTTTTGAATATTTGAACAGTTACAATGTACAGACAAACTCTTTTTACAACCTCTTTGTATTACCACGACTTTTAACATTTCATGTATTTATAATAAAGGTTTTTCAGCAAATCAAGAATGTCCTCATGAATCATTAATACAAATGCATGTGTATGCTCTTGCTTCCACCGCATCTATCATGCCGTGTAACATTGCATAAGCACTTGATAATAGAGTTGTGCAGTAAATCTGTCACTCAGTATCAAAATGAATACAGAAATAAAAAAAAATATTATAAACAATTGATCAAAGAAAACTGACACAAAATTATTTTAAGAAATATGTACTTTTACAGTCTTTTATTAAATCAAATGTAGTCAAAACGCAAAAGTTCCTCATTCTGCTAAGTCTACAATTATAATTATAGTCTACAGTAGTGTTTGAATAATTAATGCAAATATTTTAGTCCTTCCTTCAGCTGTAGTTTTGGTCTAAGAAGCCCTGCTTTTCTTTCCATACAGTTTTCTCACCAGTCTGGGTTGTCAGAACTTCATTGAGTACTTCACCTCACAAGGCCTCCAGTCTGTCTACCATCTCCAAACCCTTACAATGGAGGTAACTACTCTGAAACTAATCATTTACCTGACACACCTTTATGGATTTGACTTTATAGAAAAAGAAAAAAAATCAAGCAAAGAGCACAGCACAACAAAAACACTAAACCTGCACTTTGCTTGTTGACATAAAGATTAATTGTTTTAAATCCTGTCAGTCCCCATAATCACATATTTTATTTAACCACAAGAGGGCACTGTAATTCTTCTGTTTTGTGCTTTTGTGTTATTATTACAATTTTACATTCTCTTACATTCGTGTCTCTGCTTTCCCCAGGATTTAGGTGCTCTGAAGATACCCGAGCAGTCTCGCCATGCAATCTGGCGAGGTCTGCAGGACATGAAACAAGGAGCTGTTCATCAACTTCCCAACTCCACCCATCACCACGAATACCACGGCCAGCAGCTGCTTCGCTCCAGCAGCAACATGGCAGCCTCGGCGATGGCAGCTATCGGGGCGGCAGGCGGGGAGCTGCAACGTCAGCGGGTCATGGAGGCTGTGCACTTTCGTGTCCGCCACACCATCACAATCCCCAATAGGCCTGGCGTTGTGGGGCCATCTGGGATGACCCCAGCTCCTGATGAATGGGCTGACTTTGGTTTTGACATGCCTGACTGCAAAGAGTCCCGAAGCAAGCATTCCATCAAGGAGGAATTCATGGAGAGCGATGTTCACTGAGACTGCACTTTTTTTTATTTTTTTATTTTTTTTTACATCAACATAATTAATTGCTTGTTTATCTGCTCCATCAGGATGTCTGGTGGGTTCCGATCTGTCCCAAAGAATTAACTTCCATTTGAATTGTTGGATTATTCTCAGTAGCTTTAAAAAATATTTTCCTCGCCAGGATAACATACACAATTCCACACATGCAAAATAAATTACAAATATAACCATGACTTTTTAAACTTTGAACCTACAACAATTTTTTTCATTCATAATGTTCACATGCAGAAAGCCAGCCACCAGTTTGCGAGTTTTACGGGGTATCTTTGTTTGTTTGCATATAATTTCTTCTCAACTAAATTATTTATTTTATTTTCAGTTTTTTTCCTAACTTGTACAAATGTATATAGAGTATGTTGTAAATGTTTTGGAATAGATGTGGTTAAAAGTATTTAGATTCTAAATGATGCTGTATGAACCAAATGTTTAGGACTGAATAGTAAAACAATGCGATGGCTACAATACCACGGTTATGTATTTTTTTTAATTAACTATGACAACATGAATAACTTTTAGTTGAATATGTTGTTCATGATGTTGGCTTCAGCTTTACTTGTGTATGTTAACAAGTGTTATAGCTTTTACTATTTAATATGCTCTAGAAAATAATGTGCTTGTCCTTTATTTTTAGTAACATACTCACAAACAGCAGAAAAAAAAAACTTCTGAAACAGTATTATAGTGAAAAGACTGGATAATTTGTTGTGTAAATAATAAATTGAGAATAAGGTCCCTGTTTATCAAGATGCATTTTCTTAGAGTAGCTTGAAAGTCCTTGCAGGGCAAGGTCACCACATGCTGAGCACTGCAGGAATAGCATGGAATAGTCTTAAACCATTTTACAATTATACAAAGACTGAAAACCTGTCCTCAAAGCCCTTTTAGTATACTAACGGAATGCCCAGTTACTCAAGGGAAAAATATTAAGAAGAAAAGAAGATGGTTTAAGACGTTTTCAAAGGTTTGTGTGTGTGTGTGTGTGTGTGTGTGTGTGTGTGTGTGTGTGTGTGTGTGTGTGTGTGTGTGTGTGTGTGTGTGTGTGTGTGTGTGTGTGTGTGCGTATGTGTGTGTGTGTGTCTTTATGGTTCTTTTTTATGACTGCATTCCAGTTTTTTCTGTAGATTTCAAACCGACAAATAAAAATTGTTTCATACCATCACATTCATGTGCAGGACTTTGGTCTGCACAAAATAAAAACCTAATTTATGGCCGATTTCTAAAATCCTTAGAGAATGGCTTCTTTTCGAAGTTTCCTCAGTGAGAAACATAATGTCACCCACTCACCACTGCATGGTCAAAGAACAAGCACTTTAATGCTTTAAAGTTAAATGTCCAAATGATCAGTATTAGGTAAATGGACTTTCAAAATGTAAATAAAAATGTTTTGTTTAAATATTCTGATCAAATATCCTTTCCTTTTTGTACTAGTTTTGTAAAGCGATGTAAGATGTTCTCCAGTGTATTTTGCTAAACACAGTGTTTTTCTTTAAATCATTTTAAATATGCCCCCTCCTTAATGTCTCTCCTTATCATATTAATAAAGAATTTCAACTTACATCTCAAGTTTTCAAGTATTTTCTCATTCCTGTATATTGAGTGATTGAGTGATATTGTGCAAATATCCATCATTAACTATTTTTTAAAATGAATAAAGCAAATGTCTGAAAATAGCAAATTAAGATTTGGTCCTTAAGTTAGGCAACTTGTTAACAAGTTAAATACTATAAGTTAAATAATTTATTACAAGTTAAATACTAATTACTTAGGGGTCATTTTGTGGGTGATGAGGTTGGGTGGAAGATTGACCAGGAAAAGTTTCACCAGTAGATATGAATCCCCCCCATCCATCATCTATAACTCCTTGTCCTTTGGGGTCGCGGCAGTCATTGGACGACAGGCGGAGTAGAGAGAATGAAGGTCGGTGATTATATGTCACAACGGCCTGCCATACTTGAATGCCCTCGTGTTCGCGGAAGTACTGACGTGTTCACACGAGAAGTGGCTAGTATAGCTAGCTAGGTAGAGCCGGGTAGTGACTCAGAGGCCATATCAGGTAAGAAATGACTGTCATTGTTGTTTTTCGTTATATTTGCCAGCACTACCGCGCCACAGTAAGATGGAATACATCTGCTGTTCAGACGTAAAAATGTTTCGTTCTTATTTGAACATAAACGTGTTCCCTAGAGAAAACTGCTTTTCTTAACATGCTAAAATAATCTAGCTTCGGAACCGCTGGTAACGTAGGAACCGATCACAGGAAGTGAGTTGTCCAGTTTTCTTATTCACTGCTGGTATTTGTAGTCCTTAGTAGCATTTTAACAGGCTCCCATCACTAAGTAAGAAGATGTAATGGACTACACGTACTTTCGAGGTGCTGCAATTGCCTCTGCTTAGGAATTGTGGGAAATGTAGGTAGATAACGTCGCCCTCTGAACGATTGTATGGAGCGTAGGCTCTTTACAAGAACTACATAACCCATACCGGCTACAATTTGGGCCAAAGGGTAACGTACATTTATATGTCTAGTTAGCTATTTCTAGAGCTAATTTTTAAGCTAATGCGGATAGTTCAGATTTATGTCACAAATGAAATGTTATTCACACTTATTCGATGTACATTCCCTGTTAATCTGTTTACATCGACAAAACCCAGCGCTGGTTAGCTTGTAATGAAACAAATCTTTGCTAGCCACAACCAGGAACAGTTTCCCACGGTTTTATGTTCATGTTAAAATATATTTGTTGAAATAACATATTCTTGAGCTGCTCTGCATATACCTTTCTCTTGATGTTAATAAGCAATATGCTAGGTAAACGTAAGCTTCATTAAGGTAGAATTGGTAACTAGCAATAGCAACAGAAGTCATTCTCCATTTAACAGTCAATTAATTTCCTGATTACCCTTTTCAGTATCCATCTGTAAACCCGTGGTAAGACTCTAAAGATTTTTCTTTAACTCGTATTTGTTAGACTTACAATATCGTATTCCATAGTCTAGTATCTCCCACACGTCTGTCTATTGCTAAACTTTAATCTGTCAAGGGATTGGTTACAAGTAGGTATGTCAGCAAACCCTTCACAGGAGTTGTATGTCAAAGAAACAATTCAATCTGAATGAGTATTAAAAGTACCTTCGGATCACACTACAATCGCCAAATGTTGTGAACGACATGGAGTAGTTGTTTGTTTAGCCAGCAGATCATGTTCTTGTGACATTCACCATGATAGTTAAATTTAATTTCTCAATATAAGCCGGGTTTTGTGTGAGCTAATCACTGGATGATGTATCAAACAAAGTGAGATTTGAAATGTAGGCACTTGAAAACTTAATGCTAGCTTATTTATAAAATTCAGCTCCTCTGAAGGTAAATCAAACTTCCATTTTGCAAGAGCAAATTTCAACAGTAAGGCTTTGTTATTAACTGGAACAATAAAAAAAAAATATGTGGGCAAGTTTACATTTTCAACAATGACCAAATCTGCAGCATGCAAGAGCAAATGAAAGGCTGTTTTTGAGGTTGCGATGAGACCAGTAGCATTCATATGAATCACTGATACCTCCCATTAACAAAAATGTTTTTTTCTGGTTTATGGCAGGATGTCAGAAGGGGACAGTGTTGGAGAATCAATCCATGGGAAACCATCTGTAGTTGCTGCCTTTTTCACTGGGGTTGGAACGGTGACTATCATTTCACTCACATCACTGATGTTAAGTTGGTGGCATTGTACATATTTGCTGACAAAAATTCCTTCATTTTTCAACAGGTCTATCAGACATGGCTTGACAAGTCAACACCCTTCTATGTGGTGCGATGGGCGCTCACCCTACTACTTACTGCAATCTACATGATCAGAGTGTACATACTACAGGTGATTCTTAGTCCTGTTGTCTCCAGAAATCAGAATGTTTCATGTCGTTTTGATTAAAAGGAACTCGTGTTTCCAAACACGTATATATGTATTACCATTAAATCTTCATGGAATTTTCACTTGAATATTTTTAAAAATACTTTCCAAATCCATATTCACCTTGAGAAAACCTTGATTGCAAAAAACAGCGACGATAATCTATTTCTCCTGTGTGTCCTGTGACCACCGGTTTGGCTACATTTGATTAACAAACTGTCTGCCTTTCCAGAAGTTTATGTTTTGTTCTTGTGTTGCTTTTCAGGGGTGGTATATAGTAACTTATGCTTTGGGAATCTACCACCTCAACCTGTTCATTGCATTTCTGTCGCCAAAAGTGGATCCTTCTTTACTTGATGAAGGCAAGTGGACACTTATATTCATAGAGATTTTTTGTGTTGTGTGGTTTTTGTAATAAACAACAAAGTATCTGCTATGTCTATTCAATATGGCTACTTTCCAATATGATTTAATTTTATTGCAAAATTGGTTTCAGTATCAATAAGTGCCACAAAGTCCCTTTCTGTATATTGTTTGTAGTTTTGGATAGTTAAAGCCTTTGGAATGCAGAGTGTAACTTAATTTCTCTTGTAGATGAGGGCCCATCCCTTCCGACCAAGCAGAACGAGGAGTTCCGGCCTTTCATCAGGAGGTTGCCTGAATTTAAATTCTGGTAAGAGTTCAGCTCCAGGTCTGGCTTTGTGTTGTGAACATATGAGAGACAGTCTGGTTCCCTTACAGCTGCAGAGAACATCATCTCTGTAGCAGCTAACCTTTAGTGTGAAGCTCAGAAAGATTAATTCGGTACAAGTTCATAAGCATAAAACTAACAACATTAACATGACATGATTGTCAGATTAATAAAAACATAAGATATTACCTTGAATAAAATTCTCTGCAACACTGTCTTAATGTTACAAATGTTACTTTATATTTAAAAACTTACAGAAGTCTTCTCTTCCTCTGATTTTTGTGACAGGCACTCTGCAACAAAAGGCATCGTCATCGCCATGATTTGCACGTTTTTCGAGGCCTTCAATGTTCCAGTGTTCTGGCCAATACTCGTAATGTACTTCATCATGCTGTTTTGCATCACCATGAAGAGGCAGATTAAGGTAAACCACAACTGGAAAAACAAAGAGTGTATAAAATTGTTGCTTGTTTGAGCTAATGGATAAAATTGATATTTGAAATAACAGCAACAAAGATAACCTCAGTGAATTGTGAGGGTTTTGTGGGATGTGCAGAAAGTATTGTGTATGGCTGAGAAGAACATCTTAGCTGAACAACGCAGATTTCTGTTGAACATAAAAGGCTGAAAATTTTATTTATACATTTTTAAACAAGCAAAACATATACCTGTTTAATCTCAGTAAAGTTAACTGGCTTGGAAAACCACAGTATTAATTCTTTAACATTCCAGACAAGATTATTTTACATCTCTTCTTCTGCACATGAGCCTTTAAAATGATGGTGTATATTATGTTTAGATTAATTATTGCTTTATTTGTTGGACAAAAAGTGTGCATGTCTATTCTTTGTGTCATGAAAACATTTAATGAGAACCTGCCTTTCTCTTAATTCTCTTTCTTTGCTCTTTTCTCTGCAGCATATGATCAAGTACAGATACCTACCCTTCACACATGGGAAGAGGACATATAAAGGCAAGGAAGACACAGGGAAAACTTTTGCTAGTTAAGAACTCCAACTTACCCTTCGCCTCAGTCTCATTTGAAACGCAGTCATCACAGCTAGAAGGGAGTGATGAAGATTAGAGATTATCTTTTTTCTTTTTTTGTAAGCTGGACAGTAACATTGAAACAATAAAAAAAAAAAAAATCTTAAGCTTGGATCCATAATTGACAGTGTTGAATGCAGACATGAGCAGCACAGATCAAAAACTTGCCCAAAATTTATTTTGTTAAAAAAATGTTTTTTTAATCAGTAGTTAAAACTTAGTTCTGCCTTTTGATCCCATTGGATGAATAAATATTAATCAAGGAGAAGCTAAACTAAATTAACATGACAGTAATTTTTTCAGAATTGTGGATCTTTCAGTGCAGCATTATCCCCTATATTAGTCTGCCAACTTTTAATTCATATGTTGTCCCTACTTATTTGTAACTCATTAAGTGGTATATTATTAATCAGTTAAGTTTGGTTGCAAAAGAATGTGATTAGGTATGAAATTTGATTTAAAAAATCTTTATGATAGATGTTCTGGATCTCAGTGTCTGCTGCTCTGCTAAGTGTTGGACAAATAATAAATGAAGTTGCCTAAGTTTTTAGTGACACTTCATCTGAATATGCATTCATGATGGGCAGAAAAAAGATAAATGTGTGAATGTTTCACTTCAAATTAATTCAGTGTGATTTCTGAGTGGCTGTTTTGGTTTGGTACATGCTTTTTTTTTTTCTTCTTCTTTTTAGTAGAATGTAACTGTTGCATAGGCTAAGTATTTAGATATAATATTATTTTACTCATTTTCAGACAGCCCACTCAACATTTATGAATGCATATCTCAAGGATGGTGTTACTGATCTTTGTTCCCCTGTAGTCTGCTACCGTAAACCCACTCATATTTGTGTTTCTGTTTGCAACATTTAGCCTCAAATGGGAAGTACTAGAAATTTGCATAGTGTCAGACGTATTCTGTAAAATGATATTCCAAACTATTTTTTCTCCAATGTGCACAACCAGTATCAGTTTCTATTGCACATCATCCGTCTGAGTCAAAATTGAAGTAAACAATTTCTGAAAGGCAGTTTGTCTTTGGAGCATTTTCCCATGTGCTCCAAAAGTGGAGTTTGACTTAGAGTTTGTAGACTAGCCGTTGTTGTCCTTTATGATCTGCGTTTACCTTAAATAATAAAAAAAAACTACAGTCATTCCAAGCAAACTGTTGTTCTCTTTCTTTTGCAGAGGAAACATAGGACAACTGATTGACACCCTTTATTAAAACAAACGGATGAAGTTGGTGGTGATCATACATTTTTCTATGAACCTTTTGATTTTTTTTTTCTTTCCTAACAAAGTGCTGAGAATCTGTCAATACTAAACTGATCTACACTGTATGTAGTAAGGGATCAAAACAGTTTCCTGTAAAAAAAAAAAGTTTGTGTTTCAAAGGGTTGTCTGGATTTGTGTATATACAGTATATATATATTTTAAAATATAATTATTGTTTGGAAATCTTTTCTTTTTCATTAGTCCACCTTGTTATTTCCCCATATGAGAATCCGTTTCACCTGAAACTGATGAAAGACAAACTGGTTAATTGGGTTTTGGAGCTGAATTTAATGTTTTCCATGGATTGCATGTTATTTTCTTGTGCTACAGTAAAAAAAAAGAGAAAAAAGAAACAACTTGATTTTAAAAATGGAAGTGTAATTTTTTTTTTTTCCACTCCAAATGCTATTAAAGAGGCTGTGTCCCTTCGGAACAGTACAAAAGTGTCTTGGCTTGATATTTTGGGTAAAATAGTTTGAATATGTCGATCACAATATACTGAGAATGCTAGTACTAAAATGTAAAAGGTTTTAGTACAAACTAAAATTTGTACTAAAATTGTGATATACTTTTGCTTATATCGCATCTTAACATGTGATATAAGTGAAAAACTGTTTGATTCAATTCAATTGGTTAAAAAAAAGCTTTTTTTTATATGCAAGAAAAATGTGGATTATGTAAGAATGAGAAGAATGTTGACTTTGTTGGACAACTTTCATGAGCAAGATAAGCCACAAAAGCTTGCTTGAAAAAGGCTTAGACTTCTGTCTCCAATCAAGTTAGAGGAAAGATAAGAGGAAGGGGGGGAAACTTTAATAAAAAAGGTGCATAAGCAACAGGGACCTTTATATTCATCAGAGGATGGTGAAGCAAAGCCCATTTAAGAGTTTTTAGGAAAACAAGTTGCTGATTGCAGGTGTAGTTTATGCTGCTAAAGCTACCACATGTAGGTGTATCCAGAACATTAGTTTCAAGCTGCTTGACTAGAAATGGCACAAACACAACCTGGACTATTACTGCACATGCACTTAGTCTTCAATCAGTTAACGTATTATGTAATAATTTTCTCCTAATCCAAATTTTTATTGGGTGTAATCACCATTATGTGGCAGAGTTTTGAGGTTTTACTTCTTTATTTGAATTACTGAAATAAAAACATCTTGGGAGTAAACATCCTGTCTGAAAAAGTCCTTGGATTTTGTTCTGTTACAAAATGCAAGAGAAAGGCCTTTTTATTTTTATATTATTTGTATATTGAAAACTGAACTGGCTCAGTTTGTAGATTTTTTTTCATGATAGTGTCATCAAACCTGCCCTCAGGAGAAGCTGTTTCAGAAACCAGGATGTAGCAGCAAGCACATAAACAACTTTTGCATGCTGATTTGTTAATCCTCTTCACCCTACAGTCAGGTGTTTATGAGAGTTTGCACATCCCAGACTGATGAAAAGTGTGCAAGGTAACTCATGAACAACACCTTTCATGGAATGTTGAGAGACAAGCTACAAAAAAGTTTCAGCCGGAGTGACAAACAACAGATGTGGAAATGGCACGGATTATTGCTCATCTCTATCTGCTGGGGTGTATCCTGCATTCCCTGAATGAGGCTGATGCAGCCTCAGAATTTGAGCTGGATGGAGATTATTTAATAGGTGGACTTTTTGACATCCATCATGTAAGTAAAAGGCTTCACCGTGACAAACCGGAAACCATTACCTGCTCTAGGTGAGGCTTCTTGTCTTTGTTTCTGCCTTTTTCTTCTTTTTAAGAAGAAGCTTAGCAAAGGTTACTTAACTTGTTAAGCACATTTGAAACATTTTGTTAAGTTATAGCTGCCTCTTTTATGCTAATGTTAGATTTTCCCAGGATTTTGTTACATCATATGATGTTCAATAAAATCCTTGAAGGCAAATTTTACAGTTGGGTTCTGCAAAGCTATCACCTGCCTTCAGTTGTTTACTTGCAGAGGAGAGCTAACAACTTCATTTCAGGGGGAGCAGATAGGTTGTGAAACCAGAGTCAAGTCGAGGCTTCGTCTGATGGGGAACATTTCAATTCTAAAGCAGACATTAAATCCAGTATCCAAACAGTTGATGAAAACATTATTTATTAAACCTTCCTTGACACCCCCGACCTTTTCGTCCACTGGCTTTAATGCCAAAGAGTCAAAGTTTTGAGCATAGTAAAACACAATAACACACTAACCCAATGAAATGAATAATTATAACAAGTTAAGCCTTCAGGTCTTGCTTGTTAGTGGGTCTTTCCGTCTGAAGTCTGGATTTGAGCAAGTGAAATGCATGCTCAATTGGGTTAAGATCTGGTGATTGACTTGGCCATTGCAGAATATTCCACCTTTTTGCTCTCATGAACTCCTGGGTAGCTTTGGCTGTATGCTTGGGGTCATTATCCATCTGTACTGTGAAGCGCCGTCCGATCAACTTTGCAGCATTGGCTGAATCTGGGCTGACAGTATATCCCGGTACACTTCAGAATTCATCCGGCTACTCTTGTCTGCTGTTATGTCATCAATAAACAGTGCCATTGAAAGCCATGCATGCCCATGCCATCACGTTGCCTCCACCATGTTTTACAGAGGATGTGGTGTGCCTTGGATCATGTGCCGTTCCCTTTCTTCTCCAAACTTTTTTCTTCCCATCATTCTGGTACAGGTTGATCTTTGTCTCATCTGTCCATAGAATACTTTTCCAGAACTGGGCTGGCTTCTTGAGGTGTTTTTGGGCAAATTTAACTCTGGCCTGTCTATTTTTGGAATTGATGAATGGTTTGCATCTACATGTGAACCCTTTGTATTGCTTTCATGGAGTCTTCTCTTTACTGTTGACTTAGAGACAGATACACCTACTTCTCTGAGAGTGTTCTGGACCTCAGTTGATGTTGTGAACGGGTCCTTCTTCACCAAAGAAAGTATGCGGCGATCATCCACCACTGTTGTCTTCCGTGGACGCCCAGGCCTTTTTGAGTTCCCAAGCTCACCAGTCAATTCCTTTTTCCTCAGAATGTACCAGACTGTTGATTTTGCTACTCCAAGCATGTCTGCTATCTCTGTGATGGATTTTTTCTTTTTTTTCAGCCTCAGGATGTTCTTCTTCACCTCAATTGAGAGCTCCTTTGACCGCATGTTGTCTGGTCACAGCAACAGCTTCCAAATGCAAAACCACACACCTGGAAACAACCCCAGACCTTTTAAACTACTTACTTGATTACAGGTTAACGAGGGAAAGGCCTTTTGAGTTACTTGCAGCCTTTGGAGTCCATTGTCCAATTACTTTTGGTCCCTTGAAAAAGAGGAGGCTCTGCATTACAGAGCTATGATTCCTAAACCCTTTCTCCGATTTGGATGTGGAAACTCTCATATTGCAGCTGGGAGTGTGCACTTTCAGCCCATACTATATATAAATTGTATCTCTGAACATATTTTTGTCAACAGCTAAAATAACAAAACCTGTGTCACTGTCCAAATATTTCTGGCCCTAACTGTATCTGCTTAGAAATATATAGTGTTGTCTGTAGCGGATTAATTGGTTTACATTTTCATTCACTCTTTAGTGAGATCAGCAGTCAACTGCACCATTCTTAACTCTGTTACAAAAACACAAGTTTGCAGCTTACGGGTGAAAAGTAAGTTTAGTTTTACTGAGTTGACACAGACGCATCTTTTCAAAGAAAGTGTGATATTGATGACGGGAAGAGGCATCCACTGTGATGACCTTATGGAACAAGGACTACTCTGATTAGCTTGACTTTCTAGTGTGATTTGGTTTCTTGGATATTTCCAATCTGATCATGAATTTACTCCACAGCAACTCAATAAGCAAAAAAAAAAAAAAAAATGCTATCTATCAAAAAGGGGTTGGAATCATAAATGTTGCTCTACCCCATTTTTCTGTCCCCAGTCAACCCTTCATCCTATCAAGTTACCGGAGGTTTCAGCTGATGAGATTTGCAATAGAGGAGATCAATAACTCTACCAAACTGCTGCCAAATGTGTCGCTTGGCTATAAAATATTAGACCTTTGCTCAGACACACAGAACTTCCCTGGAGTTTTCAACCTCATCTCTGATGAGAGTCCCATCCAGCCTTGGAATGACTCTCAGAGGCTCACGTCCAAAATGGTCACAGTGGTCGGCTCTTACACAAGCACAGGGACGCTGAGTGTTGCCCCGTTCTTCATGATGGATGTCTTCCCGATGGTAAGCATTGCCAGTTGTTTCAATACTTTCGAAATAAACTGGGAAATGTTCTGTGCAATGTTACTTGAAGGTACTGAAATGTCTCTTTCAACGGGTCAGTTATGGAGCTGCCAGCTCCGTCTTTTCAAGAAAAAATAATTTCCCATCTTTCCTACGAACAGGCCATCCTAATAAAGATGTGATAGAGGTGGTTCTAGAGCTACTGCGAGAATTCAGCTGGAGCTGGGTTTCATTTCTTCACATCGACGACGACTACGGCAGAGACGGCCGGGACTTGTTCATTCGGACAATTGACCGCACAGAGATCTGTCTGGCCTATACAAAAGGCCTTGATCAAGACACAAACTACTCTGAGGTTTTCCGAGAAATTGCGTCACTAAAGGTGAATGTCTTGATTGTTTTTGCACTAGAATGGACGGCTGAAGCTCTCGTTGATGCTGCCATAAAATACAAAGTCACCAACAAGGTGTGGATAGCAGGAGACGCCTGGTCCTTACACAAGCAGCTTCCCAAACGAAGTGGAATCAGGAAAATTGGGACTGTAGTTGGGATAGCTGAGCCAAAAATGGCAATTCCAGGTTTCAATGATTTCATACACTCTTTTAAAGCCCAGGCTCAACAGAAAGATGATACGGAAGAAAAGTTTTGCCATCAGGCTTGTAACTGCAGTAATCACACTGCCGCAGATATCATTGATGCAGATCCGTCCTTCAATTTCCCTGTTTATTCTGCTGTGTATTCTGTTGCCCACGCCTTACATACTGTGCTACAATGTGGAGCTGGCAGGTGCAACAGGACAATTACACGAGTTCCCCAAAAGGTAAATATATATATAAATATACCCCATTTTATGGTGTATGCATATCTATCTCTACAGTTTAAAAAATCAATAACATATAGCTAAGAATAAATAAATAAATATTTACATTTTAATAAAATAAATAAATAAATAAATAAATGCAGTTAATTTAAAAATTGATCTGTCCAGAAATAAATAAAAAAATATCACTGCAGATTTGTTGTTTTCGCATTTTGTTGGACTGAAATGTTTCTACTTCTATTTCTATTTCTACCAACAGATGTTACAAGAGCTGCGGAAGACCAACTTTACTCTTCTAAACCATAGGGTTCAGTTTGATGAGAATGGTGACCCCGCCTTTGGGTCGTATGCAATAGTTTTCTGGAACGAAAGTGGAGAAGCGGAGGAGGTTGGCCTTTACAGTTATGACTCGTCTTTACAGTTTTTTGTCAACAGGACCAAAATCAAGTGGCATGGAAATGGTTCGTTAAGTAGGTTTTTACATTTTTCCTGAATAAAAACAAAACAAATTGTATTACTTGTACTTGGATTTCCATTTTTTCAGAAGGGAAACCCCCCCCCACTAAGTTTCTAAATCTGAAAAGAGTTATGTCGACAGCTGGCTTATGTGGATATCTACGTACATTGAAAATGATCTCAGCTGAAGCGTGACGGTGTTTTTTATTACATTTATAGAGCTTTAAATGCTGTCAAACTCAGCTCCTTGTTGAATGAACACAATATTTACTTTCGTGCCTGATGTGTGACCTGAACAGGCGCCGCAGTCGATTTGCTCTGAAGAATGTGAAGCTGGATATGCAAAAAAAACAGAAGGACTCCACAAATGCTGCTTCAGCTGTACAAAATGTGAAAGTGGAACCTATATCAACAGCACGGGTAAATAATCCTGACATAGAAATTTTTATTCATCTATGAAATGATAGCAACACAGGCCCCCTGAGAAAAAGGAAGGCTACTGGCCGTCTAATTAATACTAAAAAGTTTTGAACTTAGGAAATAGCTAATTCTGCATCGATGTGAACAAGTTAAATATTGATGCTTTTGAGGTGGTAATGTAAAAAAGATAAACTCTACTTCAATAGAATTTAATAGAATTGGCAAAATGTACTGTTAGACAGTTTTTTGCTATTTTAAGGAAATTAATGTTTATTTGTTCTGATTGAAATCTTTACATTTGTGCTAGGACCATACCTCATGCATTTCATTGCTTCTAAATAAATCTTGATCATAACTGACCTCCTAAATCAAACTCTACATGGTACCTCATTTAATCTCGGTCTAATCATTATTTCATAAAAGGTATAAATTTAAGCAAACAAAATAAGACTGTAGTATGATGTCTCAGTTAATTTAACCCTTATTTGCTGACTGTCCCTGTGCTGTATCCTTTCAACAGTCGATCCTTACACCTGCCACAAGTGTGACGACACACAGTGGTCCGAAGCAGGAAGTACTTCATGCAAGCCGCGGCAGGAGGACTACATGCCTCTGTCGCATGCTGGCGCTCTGGTCGTCATGCTTGGAGCCTTGATCTTGATGGGCCTCATCGCAGCCGTATCTGTCCTCTTCTTTATTAATTATGAAACTCCCGTTGTAAAGTCTGCCGGAGGACCGATGTGCTTCTTGGTTTTAGGCTGTCTGGCTCTGTCCAGTCTCAGTGTGTTCTTTGCCTTTGGTAAACCAACAACAGCTTTTTGTGTCTTGAGGTTTTTACCAATAACATTTTTCTTCACAGTTTGCTTGGCTTGTTTCGTTGTGCGCTCCTTCCAGATCATTTGCATTTTCAAAATAGCTGCCAGGTTCCCTAACGTCCTCAGTTGGTGGATGAAATACAAAGAACAGTGGTTGGTTATCTGTGTGGTCTGTGTCTCTCAGGCAGTCTTAATTATCATTGGCTTGTCTGTTTATACCCCATATCCTCAAAATGACACAGAGCAGCCTACAAACATAATCATCCAACGCTGCGGCAAGAATTTCAATGAGATACTTTTTCCTCTGGTTTTAATTGTATTATTGATTATTCTTTCTTTTTGTTTCTCCTACGTTGGAAAAGACTTGCCAAAAAATTACAATGAGGCTAAATCTATTACTTTCTCTCTACTGCTGCTGATAATCATCTGGATTATATATGTCACTGTCTATATTTTATACCGTGGAAAGTACATCCAATTTATTTATGGAGTGACAGTCCTTTCTAGTCTCTACTCTTTTCTATTCTGGTATTTCCTGCCAAAATGTTCCATCATCATTTTTCAACCTCAAAAAAACACCCAGCAGTACTTCCAAAGTCTCATTCAGAGTTACACAAAGATAGTTAATCAATAGTTCCTTGATCTGAGACTTCTGAAAACTCTATTTCTGGTTTGAATTGCTCTTTGTGAAATTTGAAAGTCCTGATTTTTTTTAACAAATATTATCTCAGCCAAAAACATTAAATGCTGAATTTGTTTAAAGAAAAAAAGACTAATTTGTCTTCAAATCTTCTGTTAATAGATTTGAATTAAATAATGCTATTGGAATCTAGTTTTATTTATGAGGTATTTTTAATTACCACACAGGAACAAAGTGTTGTACATTTTGCCTTTTGCTCTTTGAGGAGCAATTGATCTGAGGAAAAAGGACGGTCGAAGATATGTAATGAATCTTAATGAAAAACTTTTATTTTATTTATGTATTTATTTTTTTTGAAAACTTCAGAAAAATTTTTGCTACAGCAAAGAGAAGGTGTGCTCACAGAATGAGTTTTTCTTTTCCTAATGTATTCTAACTTGCAGTGATAAAGAAAGAAACCATCTCTGTGTGAATGTAGGTGACCGAGTTGCGTGTTTTATTGCTTCCTGGGAATATCGAATGAGATCTTCTGTAGTCAGGTATATGTAAATACAATGTTTCAAGCAATGGTAGACATCTAAAAGTTGTATTTCCATAGATCTTTTAAAATACAAATGTTTATAACAATGAATTAATTCTGCATGATATTCAGTCATTTACATTAAAAGCTTGTATATATTTCTATATTTACACATGTACTACTTTTTCATTACAATAAATACATTTCATACAACCAAATGTTTTGTCACTTTTGTCTTTCTTTGCCTTGGCTGGTTGTCAAGTTTTAAAAAGGTTGCTTCATAAACTAATTATTTTATTTCTTTGTTTTAATTATTATTTATTATGAAATTAGTTTATGGGTTTCATGTGAATGTAGGAACTGAGTCTCATATTCTATTGACCATTAAAATAGCAATTGATAAGGATACGTAAATGCATTTATGCATGCATTGTTAATTCTTATTTTCTTGTCAGTCTGAAACTGTTTAAGAATTAGACCAAATGAATAAAATATTTCTAATCTCGTCACTAAATCACAATATTGACAGCAAAATGATATGTAATTATTTTACAACTAGTTACTTAATTAGATTAGTTGATAAGTGATCGTACTTATACCATTAATGAGGATTAGCAAACTGTGGTAGACCCAATCTGAGGTAGATTGAGTTGTCAAAAGAATTTATATTTCATTTTAATTGATACTAAAATTTACAGAAAATCTTTGTATCAAAGAAAATTTCAATATATCAGCAACAAATTGAAGAGAAAAAAAAGGAAGCACAAAAGTGCTAATCCATAGTAATTACAGAGAAAAAAAACGCTAATCTTAATTCATACCACCAGGAAAAGGTCCTTTGTTTGGTGGACAGACAGGACGTTGTGACTAGATCACCCCCTGCATGTTGACCACAGATCTGCATCCTGCCCAGCTCTCCTGATGTGACTGATTTCCAAAAAGTCTGAACTCAACAGAGCCTAACAATAATGTAAGTCACAGGCGCAGTTTAACCTCCAATGTAAGATTAGAATCTCACTAATGAAGTTTCTCCATGACCTTAGGAACCATTTTGGATTAATGAACTCTCAAGCCTGGACCATCCTCCAATTTACAAAACACCAGTCCCTTCAAAGAAAGATCTCCTGGTACCTTGGTTGTGGCGGCTACTTTTTTTTTTTTTTTCAAAGACTTGTTTTCCCAAACCTTCAATAGACGTATGTGCATGAGAACTAAATCTCTTTCTCTTTTAAAGCTCTTTATTTGTTTAGTTAAAAATAGCCATGGTTCTGCTCAGAAGACTTATTCATGCTGACGGCTTCAGGCCTGCATACAGACAATGTGTTGTTTGTTGAACAAATATTTGGCAGCTGTAGATATTTTGCATGCTTATTTGTAAATGATCAAATGTGACAGGCATGTTTTTATGTCGCTGCAGTTTATTAAAATTTATATGAGAGCTCAACTCTTCATGAGCCAAGTTCAGCTTTAGTGTAAAAGAAGAGGCAAATTGGGAAGGAGTTCACAATAGACTGGTAAACAAAATCAACGACAATGAAAAGGATTTTGGCTCATATTTGTCTGCTGGGATGTCTTTTGCAGGCTTTGACAGAGCCTCTCTCAGCCTCAGAGTTTGTTTTGGATGGAAATTTTTCTATTGGAGGACTTTTTGACATTCATCAAGTCAGCGACAGCCTTTCAGGGGACAGACCAGAGGCCATCATCTGCTCAAGGTGGGTCATTTAACTCTGATAGATATCTTGACAAGATTAAACAAATGAAAATTCAGAGGATTCAGTTTCCTCCTACAGGAGGAAATCCAGATATTAAGTCCAGACAAGATTTAAAATCCAACCTTAATGTTTGACTATCTGTTTAGCTGCTCTAAAATTCACAGGAACCTTAATCTGAATAACAAACTAAATCCTTATCTTTTTTTCTGTCGACAGTCAACCTTTCATTCTGTCAAGTTATCGGAGATTTCAGATGATGAGATTCTCTGTAGAGGAAATCAATAACTCTACAAATCTGTTGCCAGGTGTAACTCTTGGCTATGAAATATTCGACCACTGCTCAGGCAGACAAAATTTCCCTGGTATTTTCAACCTCATCTCTGTTAATGGTTTCATCCAACCTTGGAATGAATCACTGAGGAACGCGTCAAAAATGATTGCAGTGGTTGGAACCTACACAAGCACAGCAACGCTGAATTTTGCCCCTCTGTTCATGACGGATCTCATTCCTCTGGTGAATATCTCAATTATCATAAATTGTTCTTAACACTATGTGATGTATATATTTATTTTGTTGATTTAAGATAATTTTTTAGAATGTAATTCTTGAATTTATGTCCATTTCTAATTAACAGGTCAGTTATGGGGCTTCGAGTTCTGTCTTCTCAGAAAAACATAATTTTCCATCTTTCTTAAGAACAATACATCCTAACAAAGATGTTATAGAGGTTATTTTGATGATTTTGAAAGAATTCAACTGGCGCTGGGTTTCATTCCTTCACATTGATGATGATTACGGCAGAGACGGCCGGGACGTGTTCATCAACAGAATCGAGAAAACAGAGATCTGTCTGGCCTACACAAAAGGCCTGGATCCTTACACAAATTACACAAAGCTTTTCCAAATTGTCGAGCCACTCGGGGTTAATGTCACGATCGTTTTCGCACCAGAATGGACGGCTGAAGCCCTCATCAAGGCCGCCATAGACCACGACATCACCAACAAGGTGTGGATAGCTGTGGATGCCTGGTCCTTACACAAGAAGCTTCCCAAAGAAACTGAAATCAGAAAAATTGGGACCGTAGTTGGGATTGCAGAGCCAGTGATGACAATACCAGGCTTCAGTGATTTTATACATTCTTTTAAAGCCCAGTCTCAACAGGAATATGCAAATAAAGAAAAGCTCTGTAATCAGGTCTGCAACTGCACCAGTGTGACAGCCGAAGATATCATCAATGCAGACCCTTCTTTCTCTTTTTCTGTCTACGCGGCTGTGAATGCCATCGCCCATGCTTTACATACCGTCCTGCAATGTGAAGCTGGCAAGTGTAAGAGCAACACAACAGTGCAACCACATATGGTGAGTTTATAATCAAAAACATAACTAATTTAATTACAATTTTAAAATAGAAAATATGTTTCTAATTAAAAGAACAAAATGTTCTTTTGTTTTATTTTACACAAAATAAGACATTAATTTGATTCATGTATTATACCTGGAGTGAATATGATATTCTGTATAAACTACAAAATGTTATGAGTTCAGTTTGAGTCACGCTACTACAAGGTACTTTTAAAGGAGTTTACAAAAGCCAAACTCAGTCAGGTTGTGTTCAGACCAAACCATTCAATGTGTGTTGCTGCAATTTCAGTTTAATCAACATTCAAACAATAAATGCAAACAATGTAATCACGTGTGTAGGAGAATTACACACTAACAATACCAACCAGAGAGGTCCCACTGTTCTCTGGGAATTTATAACTCCTGCACAGTTTCATTTCCTGTATCAACACTAGAGTTTATATGCAGAGCTTCAGTGAGTTAAGGGAGGGGCAGGAAATTATTTTTCCCAAAGGACCAGAAAAGCAACTGTCTGCTAAAAACCAAACCACTGGCTGATGTTATTTTTCCAAGTATATTGTTGAGCTAAAAATGATTCTCCTCCCTGGTATATACATGTTAATTGTAAATGTTGCCAACATTTTTTATGTGAAAAATGTTTTGAGATGTGTCTGTCTCATTTCTAACCAGAAGCTAACTTTTCAGATCAATGAAAGTAATTCTAAATAAAAATCTGCTATGGCAGTCAAATGTCTCCCATTGTGATGAAAGGTTATGCTTCAAACGGATAATTATCTTTTATGAAAAACAACTATCATAGATAGCCAAGATCTCACACTCGCTGCATTTAGTCTGATATTTAAATTCACGTTATAATTCATGATAAGAAGTCTGACTTTGTATTCAACAAACTGAACAGACCAGCTTAACTTTCACTTCTGAAAATAAATACTTAAATTCATGTCTACTTTTATCAGTTTTTTTCTCATTGACCTCAGCGTAATTTCTATATAAAAATAAGAGTGCCTAACAACACCAGGACGTTAAAAAAGACTCTTTAATGCGAGCAAAAGGAACTCGATCGCAGTCACGAGCCGCTCTTTTGATTTCACTGTGTTTCACATAAATGCACTAAAGCACAAGTTCCTTCTCTCTTACGCCATTAAGTCAGACAGACATCAGAGACAAAATGGAAAATTTGTTTCTATGCAACAGGCTATGCATGTGATGCTTATATAATATGCAAAAATTGCATGATTTCATCTGAGTTGTCTACACTGCCTTCATATGAGTGCATGATAGACAGCAAACCCACGATCCTTCCTGTTTTAATATTGTCTTTGACAGTTCTCAACCCAATTTTAACAGTTTCTATAATCTCCCAAGATATTTTCTCATTCTCATCCCAATGATTTGACCTTTCTTAGGATGTGTCTTTCCCCATGAGTGTTTAAGTAAGGAAAAGCTACTCATTACACTAAATTATTAAATAAAATAATTTAGTATCAGCTGGAAGCCAGTTGTCCATGCAGTATCTATCCAATGGGAAGCTCATACCTATCTGCTCAGTTAAATTCAGGTGGCAACATGTATGTCTGCATTTATTTAAAGGTAATCTGATTGTGTTTTTCCAACTGCAGATGTTAGCAGAGCTAAGGAGATCAAATTTTACACTCCTGAACCAGACGATTCAGTTCGACAAGAACGGTGACCCCAAGTATGGATCGTATTCAATAGTTTTCTGGAACCAGAGCGGTGATGCAGAGGAGGTTGGGTTTTACAGGTTTCCCCTTCTCTCCAGTTCTCCATCAACAAGAGCAAAATCAAGTGGCATGGAAATGGGGAGGTACATTTTATGCATGTAATTTTCTTGTTACTGCATGGAAGCATAAAATGAAATCATGGTGTGAAATGCAATGTGAGGAACATATACGCTTGAAAAGAGCAAAGTACCATATATCAACTTGTCATTGAAAATTAGCGATAAGTCACACCTTTGTGAGACAAATTTAGTCTGTAATTAGCCTTTAAATAAATGTATAACTTATTTACGAGAGTTAACAGAGGTGCCAAAGAGTGAGGCACCAATGATTTACTTTAAAAGCAAATTAATTATTAATTTAGGCATCTTGACAAGGGATGCCTACAGTTATGGAAGAACCCATAGATATAATCTGCAATTCTGATTTTTCTAGAAATATTTTATATTTTGTTTGTGTTTTCTGTCTCATCGTAACTATGAAAATTAAATTTAGTTTTTTGTTTGTTTTTGCTCTGTTTGATACTGAACTTGCACAGGTGCCTGTGTCGCTCTGTTCCCAGGAGTGTCCTGAAGGGTTTGCAAAACATCAGGAAGGAACTCAGAAATGCTGCTTCAAATGTAATATTTGTCCAAGAGGAACTTATATTAATAGTACAGGTAAATGATATTTTGAAGATGATAGTATTGTTTTAATACATCCACTTCTCATTTCTCATGTATAAAAAATATTTATTTTACATAACACATTAACACAGAAAACGCTTAGGAATAAAATACAGTGATATTTATTGTATGTGTTAAAATCAGCTCTTTAGAAACATTGTATGAAAACATGCAAAGCTAAATACTTGCTCTGCTTTTATGTTGACTGACTATCAATGTGTTGTCTACAACAGTGTATTCTAACAACTGCATGAGCTGTAAGGAGACAGAGTGGTCTGAAGCAGGAAGTACGTCCTGCAGTGAGCGGCTGGTAGAGTACATGCCTTTCTCACATGGTGGCGCTGTGGTGATCATCCTCGGTGTGTTGATCTTCATGGGTCTCACCGCAGCAATATCTGTTCTCTTTATACACAATTACAAAACACCTGTGGTTAAATCTGCTGGTGGTCCAGTGTGCTTCCTCATTTTGGCATGCCTGAGCCTGTCGAGCGTTAGCGTGTTCTTTAACTTTGGTAAGCCCACACCTGCTTCTTGTGTCTTGAAGTACTTCCCATTTTTGTTTTTCTTTACTATTTGTATTGCATGCTTCTTAGTACGTTCTTTTCAAATTATTTATGTGTTTAGAGCAGCTACTGGGTACCCCACCTTCCTCAGCTGGTGGAAGAAATGCAATGGACAGTGGTTGGTCATTATTGTAATATCAGTCATTCAAGCAACATTACTCATTTATGGATATTCCTCGGCCCCCCCAAAGCCTGGCAATATTACACTTCCAGAGACAAAAACAATCACACTTTGTTGTGATCAACATTTTCAAGCTACGTCTGGTTTTTTGATTTTGTTTTCAATATTGTGTTGCCTTTCCTTCATTTTTTCCTATATGGGAAGAGAGCTGCCAAAGAATTACAATGAAGCCAAATCGATAACGTTCTGCCTCCTGTTGCTGTTCATAATCTGGATCATATACGCCACAACGCACCTGCTTTACCACAGATATTACACCTCAACTCTTAATGCTCTGGCAATACTTTGTAGTCTCTACTCATTTCTCTTCTGGTATTTCCTGCCAAAGTGTTATATTATTGTTTTTGAACCGGAGAAAAACACACAACAGTACGTCCTAAGTCTGATTCAGAGTTACAGTGAGACATCTTGGTGATAAGCTTCCAGCTCAACTTTGTTGTGAAACCAGTAAATATTTATTTGTAACTGTTTTTTGTTGATGTGTTCATCAGATCCTCATCATCTAAATTTGCTCATGACCAAGCAAAAGCTAAAGTTATTCATGAGAATATTTTGTCTATTAAAATAAGCAATTAATTCACTAAAAATGTACTTAAATATACAGTGCATACTAATATGCTGCAGACATAATTTGATATGCTTTATTTGGTACTTGTATATATGTAGATTTATGTATGTGGCTTAATAAAGGGGTTGTTGAAGGTAGATATTTATTCTTATGTAGTGGCTGGATTAAAGAAGGCATTAAAAATTAATCAGTCCACTATGCAATGTAAAAATTGTTTATTTTGGACAGTTCTGACTGAAAGTATTGAGGTGTGATTGTTCTGTGTTACTTTGTTATTGTTTATTCATTCATAAATTTGTATTTTTTACATATGCAAACAGATAGCTAATGAACCCCACAGTTAATAAAGCATGAATATAATTGCTGTGTAGCTCTGTAGTTGTGGAATAAAAATATTTATTCAAAATTATATATGGGTGGATAGATGGATCAATGTATTTCTCTTGTTCCAAATCTCAAAGCTTCAATTCATGTCCATTTATATTAAATCAAATTTCATCCAAATTTTCTTCCCATCAATTTAATTCATTCCAGTCTCAATGGGGGGAAGGGGGGATACAAAGGTCCAGAATAGCTTTATATTGCAGAGAAAAATAGCACAAAATGCTAAATGGAAACAACATAGGTGTCAGTAAATTTAGCCACAGGTACTTTGGCAGATACACATGGTTAATGGTAGGAATTGTTCTATCAAAAACTTTATTAGGAAATAAAACTCAGCTGACCATCTAAGCACTAAATCAGGTTAAATACTATAATAAGGAAAATAAATTAATTAAACAAATGTCTGTTTAAACTATTTTAAACAGACGTCTGATCAACCTTATGTGACCTACTGGTCGCTTACATAACAATAGCGTGGCTCAAACTGATTATATTATTTTTGCATGCTGATTTGTAAATTGTCCTCATGTCATTAGATGTGCATTTCTGTCAGATCATTCATATCCAGTTACCACAAATGATCAAAATATCTCAACCACTGTCAGTGGCTCTTAGTAAAGGCAGAGGGAAAGTCAGTATGAGTTCACATTAAATTTGGCACAGACTAAAGATGTGTACTGAACAAGTTCTTGCCATTTTGTGTCTACTGGGAGGATTTTTGCATAACTTAAACGAGTCTGTTGAAAACTCAGAGTTTAGGTTGGAAGGAGATTATTTGATTGGGGGACTTTTTGATATTCATCTTGGCAGCAAAGCTCTGAATCGTGAAAGACCAGAAACTATCACCTGCTCAAGGTGAGTTTTCTAAACTTAATGCCTTTCCATCATATCATTTTGGTTAATGTGCTAGATAGCGTTATGTGAATATAATACCCGGAAATTTGTTTTTATTTTATAAATGAATCCAATGAAAAGTTGTCATTTCAAATATAAATATGTATTGATGAAAGAGCCAAAAACTGACTGTGTTAACTGATTATTTTCAGGAAATTTGGTTTTCTAGTTTTCTACTCACAGGAAAATTTACATTTTACACTCATTTTTCTTCTTTTGTTTATCATCAGTGGCAATTTCTGTGAAGCTAATGCATTTACATTTGAAATCAGACTTACATGCATATAGCATAAATAGGTATATAACCATCTTTATCCTTGATTACATCAGACTAAACATTTTCGGTTTTAGGTCAGTTAAGATGAATACAATTGTTTCTATTAACCTTAAAATGCAATTGACCAATATCCAATGGGTGTCACAATTATCTGTTCAGACAAATCATATAGATTAAAATTTTTTGTTGTGGTATTAAATTTATAGATGGTTTGTGGCTCTTTGAATCACTATAATAATTTCAGATAGCTTGTCTGATTAGTTTGCCTGGTGAACACAAACAACTGAAAGAACATTTGGGATTTTTCACTATTCATCTTGTTTCTATCCACAGCCACCCGTTTATTCTAACAAGTTATCGAAGACTGCAGATCATGAGATTCTCCATTGAGCAAATCAATAACGCCACCAACCTGCTACCAGGTGTAACGCTTGGCTATGAAATTTTGGACCACTGCTCAGACACAACAAATTTTCCAGGCATTTTTAAACTCATCTCTGTTGACGGCATCGTCCAACCTTGGGACCAGTCAAATGCGAACGTCTCTAAAGTCATTGCAGTAGTCGGAACTTATACGAGCACAGAAACACTGACTGTGGCGCCGCTCTTCATGACGAATCTGATTCCTATGGTAAACCAGTTTTAATGGAGAGAGGCTGGTCGATAGATTTTGTTTTGCATTTTATGTCACGTTATGTCATGTAACACCAGAAGTTGTCTCAAAAAATAATCCATGTTTGAATTATTTTCTTTCACAGGTCACCTATGCAGCTGCTAGTTCTGTCTTATCGGAAAAAGAATTTTTTCCTTCTTTTTTGCGGACAGTCCACCCCAATAAACATATCATAGAAGTTTTCTTTCACATTTTGCAAAAGTTCAACTGGCGCTGGGTTTCGTTCCTGTACACTGATGGTGATTATGGAAAGGATGGCTTGGACTTGTTTCAAAATATGATCAAAGATACAGAGATCTGCCTGGGATACACCAAAGGCCTTGATGAAAACACAGACTATCCTCCAATGTTTCAGCAACTAGAGGCACAGAGAGTAAATGCAATCATCGCTTTCACATTGGAATGGACGGCTAAAGATCTCATTAAAGCAGCCATAAAACATAATTTCACCAACAAAGTGTGGATCGCGGGGGATGGGTGGTCTTTACACCAAAAGCTGCCAAGGGAAAAAGGAATCAGAAAGATTGGAACCATAATTGGAGTTGCTGAGCCAGTAATTACAATACGAGGTTTCAGTGATTTCATCCACTCTTCAAAAACCCTGTGTCAGACTGAAAACCCAAAGCAAGAAAGATTTTGTAATCAGATTTCAAACTGCAACAACCTAACTGCTGAAGATGTCATTAATGCGGATCCGTCATTCTCCTTCTCTGTTTATGCTGCTGTATATTCCATAGCCAATGCTTTACATGCTGTCTTGCAATGTGGTGACGGCAGGTGTAACAGAGCAATACCTGTGAAACCACACATGGTTAGTATGCAGATGTTTATTTAACATTTCTTCATTCTATTTCTGTGCAACTTGCTTCTCTCTGTGATATGGGGGAAAAAAGGTGAAAAAATTGCAAGGTGTAATTGCTTTTGTATATTTCATATGTAAGCTCCACTGCTGTAGATACATGTCATGAAGTAAAAAAAAAAAACATATGCCTGGTATACGATCAGCTGCTGTTTTTAAACAGCAATCCCTAATTTCACATTTATTATGTACCATGAACAAAAGAACTGTTCATTTTGCTATTTTGACTGAAATGTGTGAATCCTACACCTTCAATGCTAACAAGAAATCAAAATTTTGTTTACCATGACAGGTTCTGGCCGCATTGAGAAAGTCCAACTTTACTCTATTAAATCAGAGAATTCAGTTTGACAATAATGGTGACCCCAAGTTTGGATCATATTCAATATTTTATTGGAATGAGATCGGAGAGACAGAGGAAGTTGGCGTTTACCATTTCGAATCATTTTTTCACATTAACAAAACTAAGATCCAGTGGCATGGAAATGGAAAGGTAATTATTTTCCAATATTTTAGTTTTTGTTTTTCCTACTATTTTAGGCTTTTGAAGATTAATCAAAATGTTTGCAAAGATTGAAACAGTAAGACACAAGTATGTTAAGTACCTACAGGTGTAAATATATAAAGGTTGGATCATAATTTAAGGCTTTTTATAGATAATTTTGATCAATACATTTTTAAACAGTTCTATATTTGCATTCTTTTAAATTACCCAAATTCTTTTTTATCTATATCCTTCTCCTAAATGTGGATTATACAACATGATTGCATTGAACAAAACGCTTAAATATGTTGGATTGACCTATGAGAATCTTTCACAGACTGACATGTTTAAAAGCATGGCAATACTAGTGAAATAAAAATAAATGCATAAACAAAAAAGTGAATAGAATCTATGAAAAACCTTAATTCTCGTCAATCTGGCATTCAATAAACACAAATAAGTTTGTAAGTCCTGGCTGTATTATGTAGAAAAATAAGTATTTTTTTTAGGTCTATCTAAACACCTGGTTTAAACTGCGTATGATTTTCACAGGTTCCTTCTTCATTTTGTTCCAAAGAATGTCCAGCAGGATTTTATAAAAAACAAGAAGGAATCTACAAATGCTGTTTCAATTGCACAATCTGTCCAAGAGGAACTTATATCAACACTACAGGTAAATAATGATATTTTTACAGAAAATAGGAAAATGTGTATAGGTGATATTTTGAATTTTCCTAAGAATATTTTTCTTCTTCAGCATTTAGTCATCCCTTAACATGAACCTTTAACAAAGTTAAATATATTTTCCATTGTTGTACAAAACAGAGGATCCCTACCATTGCGTCAGCTGTAAGGAGACGGAGTGGTCTGACCCAGGAAGTACTCTGTGCAATCTGCGGCTGGTGGAGTACGTGCCGATCACAGACAGTGGTGCCGTAATGATCGTGATAGGAACCTGCACCTTAATGGCCCTCACAGTTGCTATATCTGCTCTCTTTGCCTTCAACTACAACACTCCTGTTGTCAGATCTGCTGGCGGACCGATGTGCTTCCTGATTTTAGACTGCCTCAGTTTGTGCAGTCTCAGTGTTTTCTTTTACTTCGACAAACCCACGATCGCATCGTGTGTGTTAAGGTTTTTACCGTTCCTGTTGTTCTTCACTGTTTGTCTGGCATGTTTTGTTGTGTGCTCTTTTCAGATTGTTTGTATTTTCAAAATTGCGGCTCAATTCCCCAACCTCCTCAGCTGGTGGAAGAAATACCACGGACAGTGGTTGGTCATCAGTGTGGCCTTTGTCACACAGGCTGTTCTACTTTTAATCAGTTATTCCATGACCCCTCCCATACCTTACAGTGATCGATTGATATATTTGTCAAAACCATTCTAGGTTGTGACATTGATATAAAATCAATGTCAGCCCCTGTGATTTTTCTGTCGACATTATGCAGCCTGTGTTTCATTTTTTCCTACATGGGAAAAGACCTGCCAAAGAATTACAATGAAGCCAAATCCATAACCTTCTGCCTGATGCTGCTGATCCTCACCTGGATCATCTTTGCCACTTCAAGCATGCTCTACCGGGGGAAGTATGTCTCATCATTTAACGCGTTGGCAGTACTGTCCAGTCTTTATTCTTTTATGATGTGGTATTTCTTTCCAAAATGTTACATTATTATGTTTCATCCCAACAAAAACACACAACAGCATTTCCAAGGTCTGATTCAAAATTATACCACAACAATTAGTCAGTAGTTCTCTATGACTAATTGAGTCATAGAGACAACAAGGTCCTAATGCTCACATTATGACCGTGTTATTTGGCTATGTTAGCTTTTGGCTTTTTATTAATATCATCTCAGGAGAAAACTTTATGATTTATGTTTGTTTAAAGCTCTATTAATAATTTTTCCTGTAAATTCTGGTTGAGGATTATGTACATTAGTGTTTAGGAACCTTTCAATTTCAATCGCTATTTCTAGCCAAGAGAGAATAATGACTTCCTTGAATCCATATTTTAAACTCACCTTATATGACACTGTTCTTCTTAATAGGACTGTTGTCTAATCTTAAAAACCGTAACCTTTCTTGATTTCTTTAAAGTTATTCAACTTACATATCTTAGCTTTCCAAAAGGGTGATTTTTATCTGTGTTTCTTACGTTTTTAACCTGGCAACAAGTAAGAATTTCCCATCAGGGTCGATAATCGATTGACCCTGATGCTGTGCTGAGGCTGAAGCCCATTGTTGATGCCCACTGCCTTCCATAGAGTTGTTGGAAATAATCTTCTTTCAAATGATCAGTGTGGCCAAAGGATTGGTCATGCAAAGCTCATTTGAAAGAGGATGTAACTTTTCACCATAAGCCAAAATTATCTGGTTGAATGAATCAAGTCATTTGTATGAATTTGCTTGTAACCTCATGCAGCAGCAACATCATGTCATCGACAACTCATCTCTACTTGTAAATTCATCTGTCCATCCATCCATCCATCCATCCATCCATCCATCCATCCATCCATCCATCCATCCATCCATCCATCCATCCATCCATCCATCCATCCATCCGTCCGTCCATCCATCCATCCGTCCGTCCGTCCGTCCACCCGTCCATCTGTTCAGGTTGCCAGTCAATACACTCAGTCTAGTTCAGCCAATTGCCTACCACAATTTTGGACTTTGGGAGGTTATCACAGTACCTAAAGACGCTAAGTGAGAACTTTCAAGTTCATCCAGTCCTGTAAAACCTTTACACCAAATAAAAGCTAATATAAATATTTACATACAAATATGTCATCATTTATTTTTTCCCTAAAAGTAAATATCGAACATGTCAGCGTTTCAGCAGGATGTTATGGCTGACAGCAATCTACAATCCAGCACACAGTGGGTATCTGTTCTCACTGAGCTGCCTGGAGCCCTGCCATCAGTGGCATTCACTGCTACGTTTATGCTGGTGTCGGAACGTATTTGCACAGGATGAAGAAGATTCTGACATCTACAGTTCGATCATAAATTTTAAATGTGGAGCAGACGAAGAGAACATTGTGCTGACTGCTGAATCAAAAGGGTAACATCTTTAGGTAGAGGTTTTCAGTAGAAACCTCCACTTACACTGGAAATACAGGGCTTGTCAACTTTGGAGGAAATCTGAACGCAGAAAGATTTTGAGATGAGATTCTGCAACCTACAGCAATCCCATATCTCCATAGTGTGAGACCAAGCGCTATCCTTCAAGATGACAACACTGTCCCATGCAGGCCTGAGACTATAGCCATAACATATGAAGAGACTTACTAAGAATCCTGACCAGAACCTCATTAAACATTGTCTGGATAATGTGGGAGGCCCAGTTTGTGCCAGAGATACTGACCCATCCAAACTTACAAGCTATCAATAAATGCTTGTTGAAGAATAGGATGAAATCCCACAGCAATGTGACGAGTTGCCACCTTGAGAAAGTGTCATGTTGCCTTGGTTTCTACTGTTATTTATTGTCGTTGTTTGTTTGTTTTAGGCTTATTACTGAGAAAAGTTTGGTGTCTTCAGTACTTATTTTCGTTCCTGCATTAATATAAGACAACCATGAACACACTGCCCAATGATATTCTTGCCTCTTTTTTCTGTATTGCTATAACCGAATTCTGTGGGGAATTAAAATAGTTGGCTTTATAAGAATGAATTAATGTTTTACTTCTTAAATCTCTTCTCGGCAAAATGAATTCATATACAAATACTCAGAACACTCTCCATAAGAAACGCATTTTACTACAATGTAAAATTGCATTTGGATTTATTTACCATAAAGGTGGTGGACTTAGTGGCTCATGGTGGTTGTTTACATCATGGAAGCATGCAGAAGTGGATTAGAGAATGTTTGCATGCTGATATGTAAATTCTCCTTTAACCATGAGCCATGCATTTATGACACCTCATTCATCTCCAGTTCTTGGATCACTGTAGCTCAGTCCCCAGCAGTGACTCTTGGAAAAGTTGCTTATGTTTTTATGCTGAAAGAGGTATACAGTAATTATGAAAGTTCGACAGGCGATTGCTCATCTGCATCTGCTGAGCTGTCTTCTGCCTCTCCTGATCGATGTAATCGCTGCCTCAGAGTTCAAGTTGGATGGGGATTATTTAATCGGGGGTCTTTTTGATATTCATCATGTTAGTGGAACGTATCATCATTACAAACCAGAAACCATTGCCTGCTCAAGGTAAGTTTAGTAATCTTGGCTCTGATTCTAGATGTGATCAACCTTCCCTCTAAAATTTTACTCTGATTCTTCTTCCTTTGTTGACAGTGAACGATTAATCCTGTCAAGTTATCGGAGGTTTCAGGTGATGAGATTTTCCGTTGATGAAATCAATAACTCCACTGACCTGCTGCCAAATGTAACTCTGGGTTATGAGATATTTGACCATTGCTCAGACATACAGAATTTTCCTGGCATTTTCAACCTAATCTCTGAAAATAATTTCATTTACCCATGGGATGAGTTGAGCAAGAACATTTCTAAAGTGATTGCAGTGGTTGGTACCTATACAAGCACAGAGACTCTGTCAGTGGCCCCACTCTTCATGATGGATCTTGTTCCTATGGTAAGTCTTCATACTGTTGATTTTAAGTCAGAAAAAAAACATAGAACTGCATGACGAGATGCACGTGAGAATTTATTTATTTATTTTTTTCCGTAAAACAGGTCAGTTACGGGGCTGCTAGTTCTGTCTTCTCAAGAAAAAAAAACTTCCCATCCTTCTTACGAACTGTCCATCCCAATAAAGATGTCATTGAGGTGGTGTATAATATTTTGCAGAACTTCAACTGGCGCTGGGTTTCATTCCTTTACAGTGATGGTGATTATGGAAAAGATGGCTTGGACTTGTTCTTGAAGAAGATAAAGAATACTGAGATCTGCTTGGCATTCACCAAAGGCCTGAACAAAAACACAGATTACCCTCTATTATTCAGACAGCTAGAGGCACAAAGAGTGAATATCATCATTGTTTTTGCTCCTGAATGGACTGCTGAAGCTCTCATCAAAGGTGCCATAAAGCAAAACGTGACCAACAAAGTGTGGATAGCAGGGGATGCTTGGTCCTTACACAAGGAGCTCCCCAAAGAAAATGGAATCGGAAATATTGGAACTGTTCTGGGGGTAGCTGAGCCAAAAATGGCCATACCAGGCTTCAATGACTTTATCTATTCCTCCACAGGACAGTCGCAACATGATGACAAAGATGAACAAACGTTTTGTAATCAGATTTGTGAGTGTCCCAATGTAACTGCTGCAGATGTCATCAATGCAGACCCATCCTTCAACTTTCCTGTTTACTCTGCTGTTTATGCCGTTGCACATGCTTTACACAATGTCTTGCAATGTGGGTCTGGCAGGTGTAATAAAGCTATATCAGTGCAACCATACATGGTAAGTATGCAGAAAACATACAACAGTATTTTATTTATTTATTTTTTTATCATTTGGCAGTATTTACGGTTTTGTAAGAAGTCAATGCAACAATAATTAAGGTGTCATTCAAATCTCACCGTTTCTAAATATTTGTTGTACTTTGAATTCACCTTATTATTCCACAGAGAGTTTGACAAACTTTGCTTGTCAAATGCAGGTTTTAACAGCACTGAGGAAATCCAACTTTGTACTTTTAAACGAGAGCGTTCAGTTTGACGAGAATGGGGACCCCATGTTCGGATCTTATTCAATCATTTTCTGGAACCAAAGTGGTGAGGCAGAGGAGGTCGGGTTTCACAGGTTTCACCCATTTCTCCAGTTCTTCATCAACAGCACCAAGATTCAGTGGCATTCTGATGGGAAGGTAATCTTGGCTTTTCAAATCAAAAACTGAAGCACTACGACTCCCATTAAATTTGGTTGGATGTAGAGATGTAGAGGTATAGAAATAATATTCTGAACAAAAGTGAAACACCACCCCTACAAGGGAAAGCCATAATATAGTGTGTATTCTGTTTTCATTTCAATCCAACTAAATAATGGAATTATGGTCTCCTACCTCTGAGTTTTTGGTTTAATTTGTGCAGGAACCAGTGTCATTTTGTTCCAAAGAATGTCCTGAAGGGTATTCAAAAGCACAAGAGGGAATCCACAAATGTTGTTTCAACTGTAAAATCTGCCCAGATGGGACTTACATCAACACTACAGGTAAAAGCTTCTGTTTTTGATACTTTTATAATAAAGTGTAAGTAGACTAATCTTCGTGCACTATTCAAAAAATGCATGGTGTTAGTTCTCATATTAACAACAGAGGCTTCTTCAGATGAGAGGTAAGATAAAATGCTCTAAGAGATTTTTCAACCAAGAAACATTTGAATTCTCTTTGATATTCATAAAGTATTTTTTTAACAAAATTGAAAGAAAGATGCTACCTATGTATATAAACTGAAAATGTATATGTAGAGTTTTTCTCAGCACTGCTGACCATGTGGTTTTATTTTGTGTACATCAGAGGATCCCTACAACTGCATCAGCTGTAAGGAGACGGAGTGGTCTGATGAAGGAAGTACGCTGTGCAACATGCGCCTGGTGGAGTACGTACCGTTCACAGACAGTGGTGCCATAGTGATCATGTTCGGAGCCGCCGCCTTCGTGGCCCTCACAGCGGCCATGTCTGCTCTCTTTGCCTTCAACTACAACACTCCTGTTGTCAAATCTGCTGGCGGACCGATGTGCTTCCTGATTTTAGGCTGCCTCAGTTTGTGCAGTCTCAGTGTTTTCTTTTACTTCGACAAACCCACGATCGCATCGTGCGTGTTAAGGTTTTTACCGTTCCTGTTGTTCTTCACTGTTTGTCTGGCATGCTTTGTTGTGCGCTCTTTTCAGATTATTTGCATTTTCAAAATAGCAGCTAAATTCCCCAACCTCCTCAGCTGGTGGATGAAATACCACGGACAGTGGTTGATCATCAGTGTGGCCTTTGTCACACAGGCTGTCTTACTTATCATTGGCTATTCTGTTGCCCCCCCAAAGCCTTACAGCGACATGTTTTCCTACACAGAGCTAATCATACTCGGTTGTGACCTTAACCTCAAAGCGATATCTGGTTCTGTTTCGTTACTCGCCTCACTGTGTTCACTTTGCTTCATTTTCTCCTACATGGGAAAAGACCTCCCAAAGAATTACAATGAGGCCAAAGCCATAACCTTCTGCCTGCTGCTGCTGATCCTCACCTGGATTGTCCTCACCACCACAACCATGCTTTACCATGGAAAGCACATTCACACGTTTACCTCTCTGGCAGTGCTTTCAAGTCTCTACTCATTTCTGTTATGGTATTTTTTTCCAAAATGCTACATTATTATTTTTCAGCCTCAGAAAAACACTCAACAGCACTTCCAGGGTATCATCCAGAACTATACAAAAACAGTCAGCCAGTAGTTGCCTTCAACTATGTTCTGCTTTTGACAGTAGCTGATTATTATTTTGCACAATTTTTCTTTCAGTGATGTAATACTGCTATAATCAATCTTTTCCAAACATTTTAGATAAGTGGGTGAGACAATTGATGTAAAGCGACAGCAAACACAGTAAAGAGATGGTGAACGTAAAGCTGGTCTTCAAATATATTTGAAGAATTGTTCCAGCTGGTATCTTGTTTGGTGACTTTGGTTTTGTTTTACTTATTTAAATCTATACTAATAGATACCTATGTAATAACTATAATATTCATTAGATTTTTGATCTTACATTAGTATTTTTTCACCTCTCTTCTCTTAAAATGTTTATTTAGATCCTTAAAGTGTGCATCCAGATACAAATTTCTACACTATGATTTAAACACAATGTAAAATTGAGCCATATTGTTAAAACCTCTGAACACTCTGTAGTCAGTCGAATGTACTAATAATGTGTGCACTATTTCTGTGTGTTGTTCCAACGTTTGATTCCTGTAAATATGATAAGTACTTACAATTAAAATATCAGCTATATTCTCATCCTCACTATTTTCTGGAAGCTGCTCTTTTGTTGTTTGTTTTTTGGTTGTTTTTTTTTACTCAATAGGTCAAATGACTTCACAAAGAAAACTCAGATCATACTTTTCAAACAATTAATGAAAAACAATCCATTCTTAAAATGAATTCAGGCGAACTGCATGGCTGAGATCTTGGCACATTTCTAGCAGAAGTGTGTTGTTGTCGTTTCACATGTATATAAATTTTGTAATTTCAGTCATTGTCGATCATTATCAATCACTAACAAGTATCATAGACACCTTTGCCATGATTTTTTGAAACTCTGTTAGCAACTTACTACCCATTAAGGGGGGTTATCATCTAAAATGTACATTTTTGAAAGCTTTGTATCATTTTATAATGTTATTCCCTCATCAAAAACTCACCTGGAGTGTTGCGTAGATTATTTCATGCATGTTAGAAGGATCCTTGAATCTTCCCTGCCAGTCATTCAGGGTGCCTAAAAGCTTGCTCCCACAATGGGGTGAATATTTCTACACAGGCTCACAGAGCAACCCTCCTTTGTGACTCACCCACTGAGCTCCCCTAGACTAGCAGCTGCAGTAATTAGTGAATACTTGGTGGAAATGTGTATTTGCTCAACTTACCATACACACTATTCATCAGTCAAAGCTCCCAAGAATGGTTGTAAATGCTGAAGGTAGGATGTTGAAAATAATAAGAGCTTGTTAAAGAGACAGAGGCCCATTTTCAAAGTGTCAAAATTCAAACATACCTTAAAGTTTCTTTTAAGCAAAGTTTGAAATATATACAGCATTTTATGACAGCTGAAGGTAACACAGTTACAGGACTGTGTGATATGACTACACCACTTTAACTGAAATGTCATTGCCAACCAACATGACTAAAGATCATATTTTTTTATTAATAAAACACTGACATAGTTGTAAGTTTATACATTCTAATGGCAACAATATCAAATTTACTTAAAAGACAAAAAACTTAAACTTGTCTGATTTTATGATAATTAGAAAAAAGGCGATACTAGTTATTAGTGTAAACATGTGAACTCAGGTATAGTTTTAACTCCAAAAATCTAAAGTATTTAACTCTCCATTGTCCTCTTTCTACAACTTTTGTCAAAACCCAAAAATCACCATTCAACCTGTCCCTTTGCATTTTTTTTTTACAAACAGGATGACATAAATGCAAACTTTAATAGACTCCTGCTTCTGTTTTTTACAAACTACCACTGCCTCCCACAGAGGTCTTGCAAATCATCTGTGTGGCCAAAGATGAAGTCAAGCAAAGCTCATTTGTAAGAGGATGTAGCATTTTACCATAAACTAAAGACACCTGGATGAACTAGTCAAATCATTCGAGTTCATTTGCCTTTAACCACTTACGGACTAAGATCAGCAGTTTTATTGTTCTCATTCATATCTGATCCTTATGTGAAATTCATCCTGAATTTAAACACTTTGTGATGCTGCTGAAACTTTTGTATTTTCACAAATATGTTGTAAGTTTGTTAGAGTCTAAAAAAATTTTCAATGTTTATTTAAGAACAAAGCAAAATAAGTAAGCATGCCTTCAGACGTTTTCAATTTAACCACATTAAACATATGTATCCAATATTCAATTGCTTTTGTATTCCAGCAAGTTGTAATAAAGTGGTGTTTATTCCACAGCACACATTCTCAATATTTTAAGTGGCAAATCTTGGATGTTCCATTTGAGGTATTAAAGTTATCTAAATTACACAAATTAATAAACTAGACCAGCGATCTGATTAAAAAATGGTAAATTTTAAAAAATTGAACTTTGTATTTTTATTTTTTTTACAGAGGTTAACCTGAAGTCATATCAGTCATCTCACTGTAACTTTGTTCCACACTAATTGCGCGGAGAATTGTTATCTTTTCAGGGAATATTTCCAGCCGTTCAGAAAACTAAAGGAAAGCTATTTTCTCTGTTTGCAGTCAAATCTTCTTTGTCAAGTTACCGGAGGTTTCAAATGATGAGGTTCTCGGTGGAGCAAATCAATAATTCCACCAACCTGCTTCCAAATGTCTCTCTTGGCTATGACGCATTTGACCAATGCTCAGACACAAAGAATTTCCCAGGAATTTTCAATCTCATATCAGAAAATGGCACGGTCCAGCCGTGGAGAAATTCACCTGAGAATCCCAATGTGATTGCTCTGATCGGCGCGTTCACCAGCACCAAGACCTTGGCTGTAGCCCCACTTTTTATGTTGTACCTAATCCTGATGGTAGGCTTCAATTTACTATTGCTGTATAAAATAAACATGGCAAACCAACAGTTTAAATGTACAGTTTGTAAATGTATTGTCCCAATACTGTGTGAATTATTATTCTTTCTACAGGTTAGCTTCGGCGCTGCCAGCTCTGCCTTCTCTCACAAAAACAGATTTCCATCTTTTCTCCGAACAGTGCCTTCTAACAAAGACATCATAGATGTCATGGTTAACATCTTAGCGCACTTCGACTGGCGCTGGGTTGCTTTCCTTTACAGCAACAACGACTTTGGCACTGATGGACTGGAGCTTTTCAGAAAAGCGATTAAGGAGACCAACACCTGCCATATTCATCTAAAGCTGGAAAATAATGAAAACAAATTTCAGACATTTCACAGTGTTTCAAGGCTAAATAAGGATCCTGCCTGGAGCTCTGATGTGCACCGGGACTATCGAAATATTTCTAAATGCTTCCAATTCAAAGAACTAAATGAAGCTTTTCTACTTGTCTATTCATTTTTCTCAGTGAATTTAATCATATGCTGCTTTCACGTCTTGTAAAACAGAGGATCCCTACAAGTGCATCAACTGCCAGGAGACAGAGTGGTCCGAGGCGGGCAGCACATCGTGTAGCCTGCGGCTGGTGGAGTACGTGCCGTTCACAGACAGCGGAGCTCTCCTCATCATAAGCGGGGCCTGCGTTCTGATGGGCCTCACGTTGGCAGTCACTTTGCTCTTCTCTGTCAACTACAACACAGCTGTTGTGAGATCTGCTGGAGGACCCATGTGCTTCTTAATTTCAGGCTGTCTGATTCTTTGCAGCCTCAGTGTGTTCTTTTACTTTGGAAAGCCAACCGCTGCTTCCTGTGTCTTAAGATACTTCCCCTTTCTCTTGTTCTACACAGTTTGTTTGGCTTGTTTTGTCGTGCGTTCGTTTCAGATTGTCTGTATTTTCAAAACTGCTGCAAAGATCCCCAAACTTCAAAACTGGTGGATGAAATATCATGGACAATGGGCGGTCATTGTTGGGGCTTTTATCATGCAGGTTATCCTTCTTATTAGCAGTTACTGTTTTAGTGCTCCTCTTCCCAACCACAACACTTTCACCTACCAGGACCGGATCATTCTGGGCTGTGACATTAATATTGCAGCCACCATGCTCTCTGTTGTCGTACCTCTCTCTCTGTGCTCCCTTTGCTTTATTTTCTCCTACATGGGCAAAGATCTCCCAAAAAATTACAACGAGGCTAAAGCCATAACTTTCTGTCTGCTGCTGCTGATTCTCACCTGGGTCGTCTTTGCCACAGGTTACATACTCTACCAAGGCAAGCACATCCACACGTTTAATGCTCTGGCAGTGCTGTCAAGTCTCTTCTCGTTTTTGTTGTGGTATTTTCTCCCAAAATGCTACATCATTGTTCTACAACCTCACAAAAACACACAGCAGTACTTCCAGAGTCTCATTCAGAACTACACCAAGACAATCAGCCACTAGTTAATGTCCACTGCAGATAAACTAGAGGATTTTGGAATGATTTGCATTCAATAAATGTTTTAGGGTTGGGTTTTTTTCCTTCTAATTCTTGGCAATAGTCAGAAAGTAAGACTGCTGAGAATGAGGAGGTACTTTTAGATATAGGTTCTGCATGAGTCTTTCCTCCAACTCAGCTGAATTAGTGATTTTAATGGTTGTTATCTTGTAATGAGTCACACTGTTGCAGAAATTATTCTCCTGCTGCCACTTTCATGATTAACAATTACAAAAAACTCACAATACATCACACTAATTTTGTTTGCAATATTAAAAAAGGGGGGAAAAGACTGAGGACAATATACTGTTTTGAAGCAAACTTTGCTCCTTTCAGAACTAAAACAGTAGCTGCTGAGTACATTTTGTAAAGATTTGTCAATGAATAATTAAAATGTTTGTGTTTCTGTTAGAATATCATTTTACTTCCATGCTGTTATTTTGACTCCTATCGGCTTCCACCTGTGTTTACGCTAAACCTCCAGCAGATGGCACAAAACAACAACTTTCAAAGTCAATTCTGAGTTTGAACGCCCCATTTTGTGGTGGATGGATCGAAACCAGTTAACCAAAAGAAAATGACATTGTTTAAAATGACATTTAAAGAATCGGTTTTACAGCTTCAAATATTCACAATGATTTTGTATAGAAACAACAACAAAACAAGGTAAACTGAATGTTTAGTATAGACACAATGTCTTCACCAAGGAATACAATTGTAATATATAAAAATAAAAGTAAAAAAAGAAACAACTCTGACATCTAATTAGACAACTATGTTGTATTTTACATGCTGAACTGTACAGGTATTATTAGCAATAACTGTTTGATTTTCTTCTTCATGTTTTTGTAAAATAAAATCTCAAGCGATTTAGTCAGATTATATAATCCTGGTGTAAAATCATGGCATCCTCTCATGGTTAAACTTTGTAAACTAAACAGGTCCAGATTTAGCAAATTCTTCATTTTCTTGTATTTTTTGTTCTCATTTCAACAATTAGAACAAAAATACTTTAACATTCTACAAGAATGCAGAATGTTAAAGTTGCCTTTCTGCAATTTTTTAACTACAAAGATTTCTTATAGTACTAATGATACTATGGTTAACAATCACAAAGACAACTTTTTCAGATTTCACAGTCCCATTATATTTCAGTTTCTGTGGGTTTTCTCCACTCAAATTGAAATAGAACACAATCTGTGGCATTAAATACATAATTTATTCACACATAAAAATCAAGGTCAAAGATTAAAAAGTGTGAAACAGCAGATCACATAATATTTTCTTCTGGCCTGGGTGGTAAGGTTGAAATAACAATGGGTAAATAACATTTCTGATTCTTACTTATTTACATGAAAAAAGTAAAATGTAAGGTTAATGCATATCAGAGCTTGATTACAATTTCAATTAATTGTATTTACATTTTGAAAGGGGAAACTGGCCAACAGAAAAGAAGAGACAGAAGAGTAGACAGTAAATAAGACACAAGGGAAGAGCAGGGACGTTTGTTTGTTTGTGTTTGTTTGTTTGTTTCTTTGTTTGTTTGTTTGTTTGTTTGTTTGTTAATGAGGACAAAAGAAAATAAATCACATAAACTTACATTTGATCAGATTTGAAATAGTTCATTCTTTTCTTCGATAAAGTGTGTTAGGTAGTGTGGGCTGGAGGGCATATTTAAATGTGCATCTAGATATAAAGATAACAGTTTATTATATGCAATATGGTTGCATAAAATCCTATCATTTGAAACATGAGGACTTATAAAGTTAGATTTTAGATATGGACAAAGTCTTGCAAAAGTATTATTGCTTCCTGGACTTCTGCTTATTTTACCATGTTACAACCTCAAAGAACATATGAAAAGGTCAGTCAGGCAAAATCTTAAATGAAATAAGTGGAAGGACCATGAATCATTTTGTACAACACATTAAGTCATTCTAGCATGTGTAACTTCATGGTTGTGAATGGAGCAGAATGAAGTGTGTATAAAATGTTTCTCTTTATGAAGGAAACAAAAGTAAGACGATGCTCACTACCCTGAACACAAGACAAGATATATTGTAATTTTCCATCTCTATCATCTGTGTGCTATGCTGTAGTGTTACTGTACCGACTCAGATTTGCTGTTCGAAAATTATGAACTATGAATTAAATTGGAATTTTTCTACATAAGCTAAAAGAGGAAACATGAGATCTTTTTTTTTTCTTTGTACAGGAATTACAAATAGAAATTTTGTTGAATCCTGTTCAATGACAATAAATACTATCTATTCTGTTCTATTCTATTCTATTCTATTCTATTCTATTCTATTCTATTCTAAACTTCAAACCCTGGTTTACTGAGAAACACATGAGTAATTTCAATGCTTTTGCATGCTAATTTGTTAATTCTCCTTCAACCATTTCTCAGGATGAATTCTATTACCACAAGCATGGAAATGAACAGAGTTCAGTATCAGTAGTGTCAAACAAATCCATTGACAGTTTGTGTCAGACCGGCAAACATTAATTGTGAGGATGACACATTTTATTGCCGCTGTGTGTTTGACGGGACTTTTTCTCCAAGGCATCGCAGAATCCACACTGAGACACTCAGAGTTTCAACTGGAGGGAGATTATTTACTTGGTGGACTTTTTGACATCCATCATGTCAGTTCACCTCGTTCTCAGAAAAGACCTGAACACATCGACTGCTCTAGGTGAGTAGCATCAATTCATTAATAACGTCTGTAAGTCTAACCCTTTTGAGAAGGTAGCACATTTGAGCGTTTAAAACCATCATCATTGACATAGAAATGCACATCTGTTGCACCTCTGTCAGTTCATGATTTCCTTTCCCCACAGGGAGATTTTCCTCCTTCCAAATTACCGAAGGTTTCAGTTGATGAGGTTCACGGTTGAGGAAATAAATAACTCCACCACCCTGCTGCCGAATGTCACCCTTGGCTACGAGCTGTTTGACCACTGCTCGAACACACGTAGCTTCACGGACGTCTTCAAGCTCATCTCTATCAATGGCTCCATCCAACCCTGGCGTGAACCAACAAAGAATCGGTCCAAAGTTATAGCATTGGTTGGTCCTTTCACAAGCACACATGCAGTGACTGTAGCACCGTTTTTCATGATGGATCACATTCCTGTGGTAAATATCCTTGCATGCCTTTCACTTAGTTGTTAATTACTTTTTTTATGTATTAATTTTACACTAAAAATGATTCTGTGTGAATTCTCAATAGGTCAGTTATGGAAGCTCTGCTTCAGTTTTTTCTGAAAAACGGAAATACTCGTCTTTTCTACGAACAGTGCACCCCAATCAGGACACTATAGGAGTGATTGTGAAGATTCTTCAACACTTCAGCTGGCGTTGGGTCGCTTTCCTCCACAGTGATGATGACTTTGGCATTGACGGCCTGGAGATTTTCATTAAAAGGATCAAAAACACCAATATCTGCCTGGCCTATTCCAAGGCCCTTACTGAAGACACTGATAACTCACTAATCTTCAAACAGATGGAGGAACAAAACCTAAAAGTGATTATTGTGTTCGCTCCAAAGACGTACGCTGAAGCTGTCATTAAAACTGCAATTGAGCAGAATGTCACTGACAAAGTGTGGATAGCGGATGACGGCTGGTCTTTAAACAAAGAGCTTCCCAGAATGGAGGGAATCAGAAATATTGGAACTGTACTCGGGCTTGCTCAGCCCATGGTAACAATTCCTGGTTTCGATGATTTTATCTACTCTACTGTAGGGCAGGCACTCAAAACAGATACTGAGCAGCAGATGTCGTGCAATCAGGTTTGCAACTGCAGAAATCTGACTGCTGGAGAAATTGTTGCAGCAGATCCATCGTTCTCTTTCCCCATTTATTCCGCTGTGCATGCTATTGCCCGGGCCTTACATAACATCCTACAATGTAAAACTGACAGATGTGATGACACTGTACCAGTGCAACCACCTATGGTAAGTATATGTTAATCTTTTGCAGTTTACGGAGATTTGTTGAAGAATTCCCAGTTAAAAAATCCCCATTTCCTAAAGTTACATAATTTCAGTGGTTGATGCAAAACTAATTGCAAATGTCATGGGTTAGACTTCTTAGATGTTTTGCGTAATATTTACTTGCACTCACAGGACTGACCAAAAGAATTTACATCTCTGAAAATGTTAACATTGTTGTCTCATTAAAGCCACAAAATTAAATTTGCATTTTTTTATTTGCACTTTTTTCCCCCAATATCCCAACACAAAATATTCACTGATTCACTAACCACTTTCAAAGTTCGTCATGATTGCACGTTGATGACGGTTCTTGGTATGTTGCGCAATTTCTGTTAGGTGGTAGAAGAGCTCAGGAAGTCCAACTTCACATTGCTGAACCAGAGTGTCCTATTTGATGAGAATGGAGACCCCACTTTTGGACACTTTTCAATAGTTTTCTGGAACCACAGTGGCAGTGCTCAGGAGGTTGGCTTCTACCATTTTAACCAATCTCCTGGCTTCCACATCAACAATACCCAAATTCAATGGCACACAGGTGAAGAGGTAAGTTTATTTTATTAGTAATACACTCAGAGATGTGGACTAATTCAGGCTGGGGTTCATATGATGATTGCTCTATAAAGCTCCCCTGTGCTGCACTAATGAACTATCTTGTACAGGTTCCGATCGCAATTTGTTCCCCCGAATGTCCAACAGGATATGCAAGAAAAACAATTGGAATCCATAAATGTTGCTTCAGTTGTGAAATATGTCCACCTAAAACATACATCAATATCACAGGTAGGAATTGAACTGGAAACGTAAGATTGTTTCTGTCTACAATCAAAGCCAAAATTCACCAAAGATACAGTAAATCATCACAATGCCAACATGGAAACATGCAAAAAGCTCAGCAACAATAAGAAGGGTTTATAGTTTTAATGCCAATAAAGATTTTATATTGATTATTAAAAATGGTATAAATT